GATGCTGATGCTGATGCGCTGATGCTGATGCTGATGCTGATGCGCTGATGCTGATGCGCTGATGCTGATGCGCTGATGCTGATGCGCTGATGCTGATGCGCTGATGCTGATGCGCTGATGCTGATGCGCTGATGCTGATGCGCTGATGCTGATGCGCTGATGCTGATGCTGATACGCTGATGCTGATGCTGATGCGCTGATGCTGATGCTGATGCGCTGATGCTGATGCACTGATGCTGATGCTGATGCGCTGATGCTGATGCTGATGCTGATGCGCTGATGCTGATGCTGATGCGCTGATGCTGATGCTGATGCTAATGCTGATGCTGATGCTGATGCTGCTGCTGATGCTGATGCTGATGCTGCTGATGCTGATGCGCTGATGCGCTGATGCTGATGCTGATGCTGATGCTGGTGCTGATGCTGATGCTGATGCGCTGATGCTGATGCGCTGATGCTGATGCGCTGATGCTGATGCTGATGCTAATGCTGATGCTGATGCTGATGCGCTGATGCTGATGCTGATGCGCTGATGCTGATGCGCTGATGCTGATGCTGATGCTGATGCTGATGCGCTGATGCTGATGCGCTGATGCTGATGCGCTGATGCTGATGCTGATGCTGATGCTGATGCGCTGATGCTGATGCTGATGCTGATGCTGATGCTGATGTGCTGATGCTGATGCGCTGATGCTGATGCTGATGCTGATGATGCTGATGCTGATGCTGATGATGCTGATGCTGATGCTGATGCGCTGATGCTGATGCTGATGCGCTGATGCTGATGCTGATGCTGATGCGCTGATGCTGATGCTGATGCTGATGCGCTGATGCTGATGCTGTTGCTGATGCTGATGCTGATGCTGATGCTGATGCGCTGATGCTGATGCTGATGCTGATGCGCTGATGCTGATGCTGATGCGCTGATGCTGATGCTGATGCGCTGATGCTGATGCTGATGCGCTGATGCTGATGCTGATGCTGATGCGCTGATGCTGATGCTGATGCTGATGCGCTGATGCTGATGCTGATGCGCTGATGCTGATGCTGATGCTGATGCGCTGATGCTGATGTTGATGCTGATGCTGATGCTGATGCGCTGATGCTGATGCTGATGCGCTGATGCTGATGCTGATGCTGATGCGCTGATGCTGATGCTGATGCTGATGCGCTGATGCTGATGCTGATGCTGATGCGCTGATGCTGATGCTGATGCTGATGCGCTGATGCTGATGCTGATGCGCTGATGCTGATGCGCTGATGCTGATGCTGATGCGCTGATGCTGATGCTGATGCGCTGATGCTGATGCTGATGCGCTGATGCTGATGCTGATGCGCTGATGCTGATGCTGATGCTGATGCTGATGCGCTGATGCTGATGCTGATGCGCTGATGCGCTGATGCTGATGCTGATGCGCTGATGCGCTGATGCTGATGCTGATGCGCTGATGCTGATGCTGATGCGCTGATGCTGATGCTGATGCTGATGCTGATGCTGATGCGCTGATGCTGATGCTGATGCTGATGCGCTGATGCTGATGCGCTGATGCTGATGCTGATGCTGATGCTGATGCGCTGATGCTGATGCTGATGCTGATGCTGATGCTGATGCGATGATGTGATGCTGATGCTGATGCTGATGCTGATGCTGATGCGCTGATGCTGATGCTGATGCTGATGCTGATGCTGATGCGCTGATGCTGATGCTGATGCTGATGCGCTGATGCTGATGCTGATGCTGATGCTGATGCTGATGCGCTGATGCTGATGCGCTGATGCTGATGCTGATGCGCTGATGCTGATGCTGATGCTGATGCGCTGATGCTGATGTTGATGCTGATGCTGATGCTGATGCGCTGATGCTGATGCTGATGCGCTGATGCTGATGCTGATGCTGATGCGCTGATGCTGATGCTGATGCTGATGCGCTGATGCTGATGCTGATGCTGATGCGCTGATGCTGATGCTGATGCTGATGCGCTGATGCTGATGCTGATGCGCTGATGCTGATGCGCTGATGCTGATGCTGATGCGCTGATGCTGATGCTGATGCGCTGATGCTGATGCTGATGCGCTGATGCTGATGCTGATGCTGATGCTGATGCGCTGATGCTGATGCTGATGCGCTGATGCGCTGATGCTGATGCTGATGCGCTGATGCTGATGCTGATGCGCTGATGCTGATGCTGATGCTGATGCTGATGCTGATGCGCTGATGCTGATGCTGATGCTGATGCGCTGATGCTGATGCGCTGATGCTGATGCTGATGCTGATGCTGATGCGCTGATGCTGATGCTGATGCTGATGCTGATGCTGATGCTGATGCGCTGATGCTGATGCTGATGCTGATGCTGATGCTGATGCGCTGATGCTGATGCTGATGCTGATGCTGATGCGCTGATGCTGATGCTGATGCTGATGCGCTGATGCTGATGCTGATGCTGATGCTGATGCTGATGCGCTGATGCTGATGCGCTGATGCTGATGCTGATGCGCTGATGCTGATGCTGATGCTGATGCTGATGCTGATGCGCTGATGCTGATGCTGATGCTGATGCGCTGATGCTGATGCTGATGCGCTGATGCTGATGCTGATGCTGATGCGCTGATGCTGATGCTGATGCTGATGCTGATGCGCTGATGCTGATGCTGATGCTGATGCGCTGATGCTGATGCTGATGCGCTGATGCTGATGCTGATGCGCTGATGCTGATGCTGATGCTGATGCTGATGCGCTGATGCTGATGCTGATGCTGATGCTGATGCTGATGCGCTGATGCTGATGCTGATGCTGATGCTGATGCTGCTGCTGCTGATGCTGATGCTGATGCTGATGCTGATGCGCTGATGCTGATGCTGATGCTGATGCTGATGCTGATGCTGATGCTGCTGCTGCTGATGCTGATGCTGATGCGCTGATGCTGATGCTGATGCTGATGCTGCTGCTGCTGATGCTGATGCTGATACGCTGATGCTGATGCTGATGCTGATGCTGATGCGCTGATGCTGATGCGCTGATGCTGATGCGCTGATGCTGATGCGCTGATGCTGATGCGCTGATGCTGATGCTGATGCGCTGATGCTGATGCGCTGATGCTGATGCTGATGCGCTGATGCTGATGCTGATGCTGATGCGCTGATGCTGATGCTGATGCTGACGCTGATGCTGATGCTGATGCGCTGATGCTGATGCGCTGATGCTGATGCGCTGATGCTGATGCTGATGCTAATGCTGATGCTGATGCTGATACGCTGATGCTGATGCTGATGCTGATGTTGATGCTGATGCTGCTGATGCTGATGCTGATGCTGATGCGCTGATGCTGATGCGCTGATGCTGATGCGCTGATGCTGATGCTGATGCTGATGCTGATGCTGATGCGCTGATGCTGATGCTGATGCTGATGCTGATGCTGATGCTGATGCTGATGCTGATGCGCTGATGCTGATGCTGATGCTGATGCTGCTGCTGCTGATGCTGATGCTGATGCTGATGCGCTGATGCTGATGCTGATGCTGATGCTGATGCTGATGCTGATGCTGCTGCTGCTGATGCTGATGCTGATGCTGATGCGCTGATGCTGATGCTGATGCTGATGCTGCTGCTGCTGATGCTGATGCTGATACGCTGATGCTGATGCTGATGCTGATGCTGATGCGCTGATGCTGATGCGCTGATGCTGATGCGCTGATGCTGATGCGCTGATGCTGATGCGCTGATGCTGATGCTGATGCGCTGATGCTGATGCGCTGATGCTGATGCTGATGCGCTGATGCTGATGCTGATGCTGATGCGCTGATGCTGATGCTGATGCTGATGCGCTGATGCTGATGCTGATGCTGATGCTGATGCTGATGCGCTGATGCTGATGCGCTGATGCTGATGCTGATGCTGATGCTGATGCGCTGATGCTGATGCGCTGATGCTGATGCTGATGCGCTGATGCTGATGCTGATGCGCTGATGCTGATGCTGATGCTGATGCTGATACTGATGCTGATGCGCTGATGCTGATGCTGATGCTGATGCTGATGCTGATGCGCTGATGCTGATGGCCAGCACTACCTGACGAAGGGAAGGGCAAGGTCTGGGCAGCGGGTGCCAGCTGGCAGCCTCTCACTGGCCGATGTGAGTGCTTGGGCCAGTGATTCCTGGTGGGAGGGAAGAAGGTGCATGAAGGAAGGGAACAGGTGGTCCAGAGGACGTGGTGAGAGCGAGGGAGAGACAAGGGAGTGGCACAAGCGAGGTGATTGCATTGGTAATAGGAGAAAATAGCAGGCAAGGTAGCCCCACCTACCTGGCTCTGCGGCAGGATGAGCGGGTAGAATCCCCTTAGCAGGCGAGCAGCGGCAGCCCACGCAGCGAGGGGCTTCTCGGCGCGCACAGCAACAGAGAGCATATCACTCAACAGCTCCATCTGCAGCCTGCTCCAGATACCCATACCTGGCTTTGTGGCAGGATGAGAGGGTAGAAGCCGCGCAGAAGCCGTGCTGCAGCAGCCCACGCAGCAAGGGGCTCGCCAGCACGCACAGCAACAGCGAGCATGTCACTCAGCAGCTCCATCTGCAGTCTGCTCCACTGCCCCCCTCCCAACGGCGGTGCACTGCTTTCCAACACCGTCACCCCAGCCCTGCTGCCCTTCCCCCCTGCCTTACCCCCCACCCCCCCTGCTCCCGCTCCTCCTCCTCCGCCTCCGCCTGCTGCTGCTGATCCGGGTGCTGTGCCACGGGGATTGTCAGGGAGGGCGGGGGAGGGCACGGGGGAGAGTGCGAGCGACTGCACCTTGTAGGAGGTAGACGCCAGCGCCAGCACCTGTGGGGGGTGAAGGGACGGAACATGGGGGTGATGATTTCATAAATCTTGAGTCCACTCAATCGTCACCCAAGCGATTGCACCTTGTAGCACGTAGACGCCAGGGCCAGCACCTGTGAGTTGAGAGGCGTAGAGGGAGCGACTTCTTCTTTTATTATTTTTTTATCTTGAATCGACTCAACAATAGTCACCCAAGCGACTGCAGCTTGAAGCCTAAGGGTTGACCCAGCAGCCACACGAGGCCGGGCGCGCCTTGGTCCGGGGGCGCGCCTTGGTCCGGGGGCGCGCCTTGGTCCGGGGGCGCGCCTTGGTCCGGGGGCGCGCCTTGGTCCGGGGGCGCGCCTTGGTCCGGGGGCGCGCCTTGGTCCGGGGGCGCGCCTTGGTCCGGGGGCGCGCCTTGGTCCGGGGGCGCGCCTTGGTCCGGGGGCGCGCCTTGGTCCGGGGGCGCGCCTTGGTCCGGGGGCGCGCCTTGGTCCGGGGGCGCGCCTTGGTCCGGGGGCGCGCCTTGGTCCGGGGGCGCGCCTTGGTCCGGGGGCGCGCCTTGGTCCGGGGGCGCGCCTTGGTCCGGGGGCGCGCCTTGGTCCGGGGGCGCGCCTTGGTCCGGGGGCGCGCCTTGGTCCGGGGGCGCGCCTTGGTCCGGGGGCGCGCCTTGGTCCGGGGGCGCGCCTTGGTCCGGGGGCGCGCCTTGGTCCACGGGCGCGCCTTGGTCCACGGGCGCGCCTTGGTCCACGGGCGCGCCTTGGTCCGGGGGCGCGCCTTGGTCCACGGGCGCGCCTTGGTCCAGCTTGTAGCCACAGCGGCCACACGGGGACGGATGAAGAGAGCGAATTGAAGTGGGCACAGCACTTAGCTGTAATGCACTGTGATGGCACAGGGCAGGCAGTGACGTGCAACAACCGTCAGGTACTGTATCATGGCATGACGGGCACAGGAGGGGGGAGGCTGCACTGCAGCGCGCTGACAGCAGCAAAGAGTGACTCCTGCTGCCTTCTGAGTCGACTTAAATGTCACCTGGTTGCACCTTCTGAGTCAATCACCTGGTTGCACTGGTTGCACCTTCTGTTTCAACCACCTGGTTGCACTGACCTGCAGAGCGCTGACGGCAGCGAAGCGGGACTCCTGCTGCTCGTACAGCTTGGCCACCTGGCGCGTGAAGAAGGCCGCCTTGCGCTCGTAGCCCAGCTGCTGGAATATGCGCGCCACCTGCAAGAGACAGGGTTAGAGAGGAAGCGTGTGGGGAAAGGGGGGAGGGAGGCTTATGAAAGGGAAAATGCCCTCGCTTGTAGCCTTGCGCTCGTAGCCCAGCTGCTGGAATATGCGTGCCACCTGCACGTGGGGGCGTGGGGAGGAGTAAAGCACGATTGTGACATGTGGGGGAGAAGCTAGCCAGCATGCACGCATGTACCATGTATGTGCGTGCGTCGGTGGGTGGCGAAATAGGTGGATGGGTGGGTGGATCAAAGGTGGATGGATGTATCATGAGCAGGTGGGTGTATGGGTGAGTGAGTGGGTGACTGGTTGGGTCGCCGCACCTCAATGTAGAGCACGAGGAGGTCACTGGGGTTCTGCAGCCCTCGCCCCGTCTCCACCGCCTGTGCCAGCAAGTCCACCACGTCCCGCGCCATCTCCTTGCTGCCATGCACAACAGAGGTGAGGAAGAGAGGGGGTGCACGAAAGAAAGGGTGCGGCTGAGAGAATAGGGGAGGCAAGTTATAGGGAGAGGGCGTGGTTTCTCATCTGCTAGCGAGGGGGAAAGCAGAGAGAGGCAGTGGTAGCGGGAGGCAGTGATAGCGGTGGTAGCGCTTGGGACAGTGGATAGTGCGTACAGGAGCAATGGACAGGGAAGGAAGGACGCAGTGCCAGAGGTGGCAGAGGTAGTAGTGGAGGTAGCGACAGAGCTGTACTAACCGGCAGATGAATCTGGCAACCTTTATGAGGGCTTCCAGCTCAAATATCATCGCACCGGCCCTGACAGGAACGCAAGGGAGGGCGGGATGGGCCTTTGAAGACTTGCACACACTCGTGTGAAGAATGAGGGAGAACTTCTCAACACTCGCACTTTTAGCTCGTTACAGCATGCCCAATCTCCCTACACTCAGTTGCATTAGAGTGGCACAACTTTGCTGTACTACTTTCAACTGTCCTCGTCCAGTAGCCTTTTTCTTTTATTTAAGTAAGAGAGCTCACTTGCGGTAGAGCGGCACGATCTCGCTGTACTTGGTACGGATCTCCTCCTCCAACTCCTCGTCCCACCGCCCCTTCTCCACCTGCCCACACACACCACACACCACAAAGCACAACACCGCAGACAGCCTCTTCAGCTTCAATCGCGCCCAAGGCAAGGACCACCGTCGAAGCACCTCTTAAAATCCCTCCCTCCCGCCTCCCTCCCCCGCCAGCCCCCCAACTCACCGCCAGAGTGCTAACATGCCCCTCCAGGGCACCGGCGAGCCAGAGCGGGTCTGTGCTGTTGGTGAGGCGCCCGAGCTCGATGGCCGTGCCGTAGTGGCTGCGCGCGTCAAGAGGCGACCCCGCCAGCAGGCAGTAGTCGCCGATGGCCTTCTGTATGCGCGCCAGGCGCTTCTTCTTCAGCCGCGCCGCCTGGGGGAGCGGGGGCGAGCAGGAGGAGCAGTAGGGGAGGCAGCAGGGAGAGTGTAATCGAGAGCAGAAGGGGCTGGGTGCTCATGCGCTGGTGCTCCGGGAAACCGGGAGACCGTGAAACCGGGAAACCGGGAAACCGGAAAACCGGGAAACCGGGAAACCGGGAAACCGGGAAACCGAGAAACCGGGAAACCGGGAAACCGGGAAACCGGGAAACCAGGAAACCGTGAAACCAAGAAACCGGGAAACCGGGATAACGGTGTACCGGGATACCGGGATACCGGGGAAACCTGGATACCGGAATACTGGGATACTCAATCCTCAAACGGGGAGCACTCACGTCCTCGTAAGGTGTGACATTAGGGTTGTCAAGAGGAGAGATGAAGATAGCCACAATGGGATCAACGTGCAGCACCCAGCTCTCGAGCGCCATGAGCACACACGCTCCAAAGCCACGCTTTGAAATGCCTCACGCCCAATCACACCCCTGTAGGCTGCTTACTTGCTCTGCCACAGTAAAAGCGAACTCACATCCTCATTGGGAGTAACATTGGGGTTGTCCAGTGGCGAAAGAAAGATTGCCGCAATGAGATCTCTGCCACTGCTCACTCTCAACCTCATTTTGCTCAGCCTCTAGCCCACTCACATCCTCGTTGGGTGTAACGTTGGGGTTGTCGAGCGGCGAGTGGAAGATAGCCGCAATGGGATCAACATGCAGCACCCAGCTCTCAAGAGCACACATGCGGCCACACTCTACCACGACTCATCAAGCCCACTCACATCCTCATTGGGTGTGACATTGGGGTTGTCAAGGGGTGACAAGAAGATAGCCGCAATCGGATCAACATGCAGCACCCAGCTCTCGAGCGCCATGAGCACACACGCGGCAAAGTCGTGCATCACCGACACCAGCAGCGCCTCCAGCCGCTGCTGATCCGCGCCCGACAGAATCACCAGGTTGCGCCGCTGCGGATCCTCCTCTGCCAGCTGAGAGGGGGGGGAAGCGGGGGGGAATAGATATATGAGGGATGAGGAGGGAACCACCGACATCAGCCGCTATTGATCCGCTCCTGACAGGATCACCAGGTTGCGCCGCTGCGGGTCTTCCTCTGCCAGCTGGAAGGGGGGGGAGGGGGGAGGAAAAGATACAAGCGGTGAGGGGAGGACGAACAGGTTGTGCAGCTGCACGTCCTTCCTTGCCAGCTGGAAGGGGGGGGGGAGGGGAGAGGATGGGGGAGGAGCGGGGAGAGGATGGGTAGTTATTAAAGAGCGAGAGGCTCCTCGGTGCAGCAGGGGTGGAGTGGGAGGCTCCCCTCCCCGGTGCAGCAGGGGTGGAGTGGGAGGCTCCCCTCCCCGGTGCAGCAGGGGTGGAGTGGGAGGCTCCCCTCCCCGGTGCAGCAGGGGTGGAGTGGGAGGCTCCCCTCCCCGGTGCAGCAGGGGAGGAGAAGAGCCACTTGCAAGCATTCTCCATCATCATTCTCAATCAGCAATCTCAAACAGCACACCTGCTCGGTGTTGGGGTCGAAGGCGATGCAGCGCTTGACCTGAGCGAGGGGGTACGCCTTGCACGCCAGCACAAGTGGAGTCACTTCACTTCTAAGAGCTCTCAACAGCCATACCTGCACTGCACTGCACGCCTCACAGCCACACATGCACGCCTCACAGCGTACCTGCTCGGTGTTGGGGTCGAAGGCGATGCAGCGCTTGACCTGCGCGAGGGGGTACGCCTTGCACGCCAGCACAAACTCCTCGTACGCCGCTGCTGTGTCTGGCATGCGCGGGCAGTGACACACGCCTATCACCCCGTGGATCTGCAGGGGCAATAGCGAAAGGAGGGAGGGAGGAGAGGGGTGAGCGGGAGAGGGAGGGGAAGTGTACGGTCCGTTGACCCTCATGCTACCCCACCTTGTGCCATCCGCAATGCCACAAGTACCAACATGTTCCCCACCTCACCTTCCTCTACCCCAAAATACTCCCATTGCCCCCATCCCACGTTCCTCTGTGCCTCAAGAACCTCCATTCTCCACCCTCCCCTCGCACCTTGCGCTGTGCCACGAACTCCTGCCAGGGGCTGCGGCTGCTGCCGCCCAGAATGAAGTTGAAACGCAGCGACCCCGTTGTCCATGGCTGCACGCGCGCAGAGCAGAGCAGAGAAGTGGCGGGATGAAAGGCACGAGCGCGAGGGGTGGAGGGAGTTGGAACAATGGAGGGCGATTGCAGCAGTGCAAAGGAGAGGCTCATTGAAGCGAGTACGTGGCAGGAGGGGAAGCAACGCGAGGCATAGAGCATTGATGCGGAAAGGCGTGTCAATTCGAGACAGGAGCGGCTCACCTGGTGCGAGAAGGGGCTCTTCTGGTGCTCCTTGTAGTACCCGAACACGCCCTGCAGCGGCATCACTCTGATGAGGGGAGGGCGAAGGGGAGGGCAGCAAGGAGCTGGTGTGCGGGGAGGGCTAGAGTGCAAGCAGGGGACGGACCATTGTTGGGGCATTGTCACTTACCAATGCCCTTAATGATATTCCCAAGGCTGAGGAACGCGTGTGCGCACCTGTGTTTCATGATGAGGCTGGAGTAGGTGCGCACCTGTGTTTCATGATGAGGCTGGAGTAGGTGCGCAACTGTGTTTCATGATGAGGCTGGAGTAGGTGCGCACCTGTGTTTCATGATGAGGCTGGAGTAGGTGCGCACCTGTGTTTCATGATGAGGCTGGAGTAGGTGCGCACCTGTGTTTCATGATGAGGCTGGAGTAGGTGCGCACCTGTGTTTCATGATGAGGCTGGAGTAGGTGCGGAAGGCGGACGCGGTAATCTCGCCGACCTGCAGCACCACCACGCGGATCACCGACGCCGACTCGATGCTCCCATCCGGCTCCATGCCGCCCCACGCTCCCTACTTCACCGCGCGTCCCGCACTTGCTGCCCGTCCGTCCGCTCGTCCGTGCGTTCGTCTAACCGCCCGGCCGGCCGTCTGCTCGATTCTCTCTCTCCGTCCGACTGTATGTTCGCAATGGCGTCTGTTCGTGTCGTCCGGCTCGCGAATCTCGACCACTCTGTCCGTCTGGCTCTCTGCTCGCCAGACTAACCTCGTGGAACCGATTGATTTCCTGCCGAAGATAGTAGCTAGCTCGCGCCAAGCCACGCAGACGACAGTCTGTCGCTCCGTGAGGTTACCTCGCTGACAGAACGCCAGATTGACCGTGTCGAATCAACCAATGACCTACGACTTTAATTTACGCGAGGCGTTGCACAGCTTACGAAGAACGCGATCTCCATATCATTAGGTGCACGTCGTGCTGTAATGCGCACCTATTTCTCAGACATTTCATGGTTCCATTGTGGACGACAGGCCAACTAATCTCTCATTTTGGAACTTCATAGAAGGGAGATTCCAAAATCAAAAGCGATGCATTGGAAGAGCGTGTGCTATCGCTTGTGCATGGATGATTACTACTTTGAGCGCATAAACTCAGTCGTACCATACACTTTATTGAAGGCTCTACTGAGGAGTACACCGGAGGGGTTCTCCTTCAGAAGCAGGCTCGCCAAATTCGCCGTGGCTAGTTGCAAAGTGGTTTGGCCCGAACCGAAACTCCTCTTGCGAGCCGTCAGAACCCGAAACTCGCGCCGAGCCTGGAGCGCCCGAGCTATTTTGACTATTGAATGGCTCAATCACGGCATTCGGTGGCGGGAGACCGCGAATTCATTGGTCACTGACATGATTGTCTGCAATAGCCAGGTTCGCTCCGAGCCTGACTACTCCTCCTCAAGCACTCCCATACCTGATGCAGACAAAACATCATCCCGAGGTAGACCCTCGAGATTCCATCGCGGTAGATTCTCTCTTGTCCCCTTGGTTTTCCCTCACCCCTCACACCCCCCTTTCCACAATCACAACAACCTCCTGATTTTCGCCTCTAGCCTCTTCTACCTTGGTTCTACCTAGCCTCTTGACATCTCTCGCACCAACTACCAGCAGCCATCGCTATCTTGAACGTGTCTACGCCATTGGTGGGGCCAAGGCTATAGAGCAAGACCACTTCGGTTGACGGTTTTGTCAGTGTTTTGGCATATTTCGTCCCGTGATAGCTTGTGACCTCTGACGTGCTTGTGACTGGAGCTCGAATTTTCACGTCGTAGCGGAAGTTATGAGTGTGGAACAGAGTAGGTGTTGATAGAGGTGCACCCGACGTTTTCTCTCGGTTCTTTCTAACCTAAACGAGACCGTCACTGCATGATCGCGCGCTTCGGTCCTTTAATCTCACAATGCTGGCAGCGGAAACACTATAATTAAAATTATGACGCGTAGATTGCACTCGTCCAGGAGATCGACGGCGAGTGCCGCCCTTTATTACGGTTCGTCTAGATCGTTCTTAGAGCCTTTCAAGTAGCGCCTGAAGCAATTCGTTTGAATTAGCCAATAGAAGTTGCGTAGACAACCATGATTTCCGAAGGTGGGAGGCTGGTGGATAAGAAGCCTCTCAAAGGTTATCTCCCAGAGAGGATTTGCCGCGTGCTTTGCTCCTTGGCGCTGGTCTTCGTGCTGTCGTTTCTCGTCTCGTCCCTCTTCTTCCTCCTCCTATCAGCAACGCTATCTCCGCTACTGACATCCCTGCTTCGCTATGGCGCTCCCTCGGAGCCAGCTGATGCGGGAGGGAGAATTGCGTTCATGTTCCTGACGCGTGGACCGCTGCCATTGGCCCCTCTGTGGGAGAAGTTTTTTCAAGTACGTATGCTCAAGTGTCTGCACTGGCTTAGCTCTATGATAGCGAGGAGTCTGCATCTGCTTCCACTAGGGTTGAAGTTTCGGGCTGCTTGTGTGCACTCGAATGCACGTCCTTCGCAACATCAAGCATCTCTCTCAAAACTCCCTCCCTTGCCCTTTGCTCTTTGTCTCTCTCTATATTCCTGAAGGGTCACGAGGGTCGCTACGCCGTGTACGTGCACGCCTCGCAGCCCAATTTCACATTCCCCTCCAACTTCTCGCCAGTTTTTGTTGACCGGCAAATACCAGGCGGCAAGGTGCGCTCCGCACCTCTAGATGGCGGTGTTTTCTGGGTGAATGTTGTCGTTCCTATGTTATTATTCTCCAGGTTTCGTGAAATTCCGGGTATCGTAAATGTTGACACTTGCAATGTTGAATTCCGCGTTAAGGATCCGTAGCCACGTGTTTTGTGCAGGTGGAGTGGGGTCGAATGTCCGTCGTGGCTGCCGAGCGACGCCTGTTGGCTTACGCAGTCACGGACAAGCGAAACGAGTACTTCGTCCTTGTCTCGGAATCGTGAGTGTGTCGATGGGTGGTAACCCACTGAATTCGTCCAAGATTTCTCTCTGTTTGTTTCCAGTGCACTCTCGCCTTTTCATTTTTTACGGGGCATTCATCTTCCTACTCTTGTGTCTGGAAGCATTATACCTCAATCTCCTTCCCCCCGTCCTTGCCATTGCTGCCCCGCGGTTAACTGTCTGGTACGTGTTTCACGGCGGTGGCAGGTGCATTCCGCTGTGGTCGTTCGACTACATCCACGATTACATCTCCAGCACGCACATCAGCTTCGTCGAGGCGTAAGTACATCCTATCATGGCGTATCCGAATCCTCTTCCCAACGCCCATCAAGCACACCGCGTCCTTCGCACACTCCCCAACCCTTCCCAACCCCCACCCAGCCCCACGCTTCCTTCTTAGCCTACCCTCTTGTTGCAACACGGCCCAAAGTAGCAGCTCAAGGAAGGATTTGATATGAGAAGGTGGCACGCCTGATGAACGTAGCGAAACGACTGCTTACCTATACCTCACCCTTGTCCTCTCCCACCTCCCCCCCACTCGCCCCATCCCCACGCGGGAACGAGGACGAGGCGTCTGGGTGTATCGGTTGGTCATTCACATGTCGCCCATCCGCCAACCCACATCCCCCCTTCCCCCTCTTCCCTGCAGGCACACGGACCCATTCGACGAGGCGTTTGGGCGGTACCTGCCGGACATCCACATGCCGGCCATCCGGCGCAAGGACACCCAGTCATCCCCACTCCCCCCCTCTCTCCCCCCCTCCCCCTCCCTGCAGGCACACGGATCCGTTTGACGAGGCGTTTGGGCGGTACTTGCCGGACATCCACATGCCGGCCATCAGCCCGTCACCCCCACCCCGACCCCCAATTTCGCCCCACAATCTTTCCCCCTCCTCCCCCGTCTCCCCCTCCCCAACCCTTCCCTGCCCCCTCTGCAGGCACACGGACCCGTTTGACGAGGCGTTTGGGCGGTACCTGCCAGACATCCACATGCCGGCCATCCGGCGCAAGGACTTCCTCAAGGGCAGCCAGTGGTTCGTCATGCAGCGCAGGCATGCGGAGCTCGTGGTGCAGGACACGGAGCACTACCTCGTGCACTCCAAGTCCTGCCAGGTACGGCAGGAAAGGGGAGGGAGATTGCTTGGCTGGCAGGGGGGAAAGTTGCGAGCCCTTGTAGCATTCCCACCTAGAGCTCGTGGTGCAGGACACGAAGCACTACCTCGTGCACTCCAAGTCCTGCCAGGTACGGCAGGGGCAGGGAGGGTGCTCGGCGGGAAGGCGCTGCCAGTCTTGCCATCCGCGTGCATCCTCCCTTACTACTGGCTTGTTCCGCCCCTTCATTTCATGCAATCTCTCACAAACTCGTGACGTGAGGCATGTCGCACAGCACTTAAACCACTGGCGCTCTGATTCGCGTCACCTCCTCACCTGTTTCTTCCGCCATCCCCCATCTCCTCCCCACAATCCTTGCCTGTGCCCGTGGCAGTGGAGGGCGCAGCACTCCAAGTACTGCTGCTCCGACGAGCACTACCTTCAAATCCTCCTCGCTGTATGTCTCTCTGCTCTGCCTCTTTCCACATATCCTATTCCCCTCTCCCTTCAATCCCTCGTTCCTCTTTGTGCAACCAGTGCCTTCCCTTCGTATTCTTGCACCCTCGCCCCTTGTTTCCACCATGCAAGCTCACATTCAATTTAGGCATGCCCTATACTCGCTATAACACACATGCTGCTCAGTCGCCCCTCCTCTCTCTACTCTCCGCGCCTCTCCCCGCAGCTAAAGGACCCAGCGGGAATCTCGCGCTTCCCCGTGACCCTGGCGGACTGGAGCCAGTGGCGGTTCCACCCCGAGACCTACTACTCGTACAACATGAGTGAAGCGCTCTTCAAAACCATCAAGGTGCGCCACACAGCCTTTTAATTCCTACAAGGGAGAAACAGCCTTGGGATCGAGCTTACCTCTTTTCAGATTCATGTGGCACTCCCCATCCTGCCTCCCACTCTCACTGTCTTCCCGTGCTGTTTCCTGCTCTTCCATGCCTACCTGTGCCATCTCCCTGCCTTCCATGGCTGCCTGGGCCGCTTGACATCCCTGCTTCCGCACTTGCTCCTTGCCTACCCTTGTGTGACTCCTCTGTCTATATCTCTGCTCCCTCCCCATCCATCACTTCCCTCCTTCACCCCCTCCTTTCCCCACTTTTTCCCCAACCGTCCCCCTTTCATCTCGCCCCCCCCCTCCCTTCTTCTCCCACCTTCGTACCCTGCCCTACTTCTCCCCTTCATTCCCCCTTTTTCCCCTTCACACCCCCCTTCTTCCCTTTATCCTCTCCCTCCCCTACATACCCTTTGCCACCAATGTCTGTTGTCTGGTGAGCAGTCCACAAAGCACTACATCCAGTATCGTTACTACTGGAAGAAGTTTAGAAATAGATACTCCTATGTAAGTTGGAAGTCCATTTGAAAACCCCTCTGTATGTAGTTGAATGTACTTTTAAATTTCAATGTTCCAATGCTCGCATGGTCGTTCCTTGTCCCCATGCCCTTATGCAACCAATAATGTTGTGCCATGCTCTGCTTGTACATGTCTTCGCCCTTGGCAGATTGAAAACCCTAAGAAACCCCAACCTGCTCCAGTGAGTTATCTCTTAGAACTCCCTTATACTTCTGGCTGGTTTGTGGTCGCTGTTGATTCTAGTGCATGTGTTTTGTCAATGCGCGTGTCTTGTCAATGCGCGTGTTTTGTCTGCTTTCATCCCATGTGCCCTTGCACCTGCTTTGCCTGCCTTGATCTCACCTGCTCCTTGCACCTGCTTTGCCTGCCTTGATCTCACCTGCACTTGCTTTGCCTTGCTTGCCTCCATCTCAAATGCCCATGCGCATACTATGTCTGCCTTGGTCTTGTGTGTCTCTCTTCCTGGCCTGCTCTGCAGACGGTTGAGAATGGATTTTGTGTCGTGGAGGGCACTGTGCGAAACTGCTTCCTGTTCGCCAGGAAATTCCACGTGTCCTCGTTGCCGTTCCTGCTCAAGAACTCGCAGCAGCTCCTTGGATTTTAGAACCTAGTGATATGTCATGCTTGTATTGAGTTGCTAGGCTTTATTATGTGTTGAAGTTGAGTAATGAGAGAAATAAGGGTGCACCAAAAGGTGCTCAACTTGTCGCGGCATCCGGATTCTCGTGAGCAAATGGCAGGTGAACACCAGCTGGATTGCACTTCAACCTAGGCAACTGTTGTTTATACTGGAGACATCAGTATCGAATTGCAGCCAGTTTGGCTCGCACGGCGAACCGCCTCGTAAATGGCGGCGCTGGTGTTACCTCGGTTTGACAGGCAGAAACTGTACCCACAGAGGTCGTACCACCTCACCTCCGCGCGAATGTTTTTTGACGACGCGCGGAATTTCGGGCTCTCCCTTGTGCTCTAGCCTACTGCAAGCGCTTCGAAGACTGCCAAGCGAGAGAAAAATAGTATGTGGTTACCCGTTTCGCCTTCGATTTTGATCCACGTTTCTCTCGGGTCGTCAGGGCTTCTGTGGCGCTGTACGACCCCTATCGTCGTCGAACGCAATCGGCACCATTCGTTCGGGTTTCCTCGGAACAAAAGCATTTCAATCGTCCCACCTTGGGTCTGGAATCCCAACCACGTCTGGGGCTACCAAACGAAGCAGCCTTGCGTGGCTTGGTCGTGTGTTTCGGCTCCCTAGCCTGGTCTTGTTGTCAACTCAGCTGTCGGGTTCCCGAAACGCTGTCGGTTTGGGGCTGGACTTGGTTGAAAGCCCACCACGCACACTCCAACACGCTCATGTGTCTCCCCCGCGCTCGCTGCACCCCTATCCATTCCAATTTCCATCCATTTCTCAACCCTGCCGTTGGTATTGGAGTCTGCTTGCTTCTTGTTCGCCCGCCAGCGATACCGTTGCGTTGCCTTCTGCCGCTTTTGCTTGCTTGCTCCTTGCGTCTCCTTGCATCCCACGACACTCCTAATTAATTGCAGCTTCGTTTCTGGCCCACGCGGCGCTCAGGTACCGTTTGGTTAGTTTCGAGGCATTCCGCCTAGTTTCGTTACCTAAACAACGTAGCGACGGGCCGTTCGGGTTTCGCCGGCGAACACGATGCTGTATCACGGTCGAGCATTCAACCAGAGTGTAGATCACACGACGCCGTTGCTGCTACGCCGTTCCCCTTCCCTCAGATCGCTCAATGAGTCCTACTCGTTAAAACCTCTTTCCGCAAACACGTTTCTGCGAGTACTTGCTACGATAGTAGTCATATTCGGCGTACTATCTCCGCTATTTTGGGTCGATTTCTCCATATTCACACATGTTATAGTAAAATCTGCTTCTAAAGCAAATTCAGGCAGCAATCCACATATAGCGAACGGAAAATCGTCGCACGTAAATGTCATTCGCCAAAACCGTCAACATGGGAAGGTAGCGTTTCTCTTCTTGACACGTGGACCACTCCCATTCGCTCCGCTCTGGGAGAGATTCTTCGCGGGGCACGAGGGCCGGTACTCCGTCTACGTGCATGCATCCAACGCCTCCTTCGCCTTCCCTGCTGACTCGCCGGCCATTTTCAGAAACAGTCTGATCCCGGGGGGTGAGGTGAGCACAGATGGGAATGCGTAGAAGTCACTGAGTTACTCTCTGGATAGACACCATATATGGCATGGCTGGACGCGTCGTGTGTTCTGATCTCATGACTGGCTGTTTTCCGGGTCCATCGTCGTGCCGCTATTAGCACGAATAGATTGACAGATCGTACCATTTCTATTCTTTTTTTAATATTATTATTATCATTTTGTTTCCTCCTCCGTCAGGTGCGATGGGGGGGAATCAGCATGGTGGACGCGGAGCGGCGGCTGCTGGCAGCGGCACTGGAGGACCCCGATAACCAGCACTTCGCGCTGCTCTCCGAAAGGTACTGGAAGGAACGTCGCACGTGCTCGCGCGTGTTCGCAGAAACGTCGCACGCAGAGCAAGAACTCGAAGCAACAGCGAAGCTTTCAGAGCAGTTGCTTCAGCTCGCCTCAATTTCCAAATACCTTGATAATTTCTCAAAGGTTCTTTCCACCTAAGCCTTCTTTTCCCTCATTCCGCGTCCCAGCCTCATCCCATCTCCCAATTCTCCCCGTCCCTCGCCTCCCTGTGCGCAGTTGCATCCCACTGTGGCCGTTCGACTTCGTTCATCAATACGTCGCCTCCACCTCCGTCAGCTTCGTCGATGCGTGAGTCACACCTGTCAGCTTTGTCGATGCGTGAGTCACACCTGTCAGCTTTGTCGATGCGTGAGTCACACCTGTCAGCTTCGTATTGGCTGGTTATGCCACCCCGTAAACCACTCGATACCCCGCACTTGACAAACGGAGCGGATTTAAGCAATCCCAGCGCACACTGCGCTACATTCCACGCTATCAGCGCTACATCGCATCGTGGTGTTACATCCAAGACACATTCTTGGCTATCAGTTGTCATGCAGCGTCAGCATTCCCCTCCCTGCAGCTACCCCCTTCCCCATTCTTGGCTATCAGTTGTCATGCAGCGTCAGCATTCCCCTCCCTGCAGCTCCCTTCCCCATTCTTGGCTATCAGTTGTCATGCAGCGTCAGCATTCCCCTCCCTGCAGCTACTCCCTTCCCCATTCTTGGCTATCAGTTGTCCTGCTTCAACACTCCCTTCCCTTCGCTTCCCCCTTTGCAGCTACCCGACCCCTACAAGGCGTCCTTCCGCCGCTGCATCCCGCACATGTTCAAGCCAATCATGCTTGTGCCTTCCTTCCGCTTCAATATTCCCCTCCCCTCCCCTCTCTCCCCTTCCCCTGCAGCTACCCCGACCCGTACAACGCGACCTTCCGGCGCTACATCCCGCACATCTTCAAGCCGCTGGTGGGCGCGCAGGACTACCGCAAGGGCAACCAGTGGCTCGTGCTGCAGCGCCGCCACGCGCAGCTGGTGGTGCAGGACACGCAGCACTACGCCGTGCACAACAGGAGCTGTGCGGTGAGGCTGGGAAATGGGGGAGGGAGGGAGTGACGGAATTAGGGAGTGAAGGGAGATGGGAGGGTGCTGTGCTGTGCATGCGCAATGGGAGGTGTGGGGTACGAATAGCTTGGGCACAGGTGCAACAAGCAGCATGAGCACTTCGTTATGATTGGAAGTTTCCATTCTTCCACAGCTCGCTTTCCTGCTTATCAGCCAATACAGGGCCCTCGACCTGAAGAGCAAGCCGATGTCATTCATTTTTGTCCCGCTCCTCTCTGCGCGCGCCCGTGCTGCCTCTACTCGCCTGCTTGCAGTTTCGGTTTCAATGGGGGAAGGTGTGCTGCGCCGATGAGCACTACATCCAAACCATGCTGCATGTGAGCACTACATCCAAACCATGCTGCATGTGAGCACTACATCCAAACCATGCTGCATGTGAGCACTACATCCAAACCATGCTGCATGTGAGCACTACATCCAAACCATGCTGCATGTGAGCACTACATCCAAACCATGCTGCATGTGAGCACTACATCCAAACCATGCTGCATGTGAGTTGCTGTGTTGAGGTGCACTTGCACATATGCACCAGATACGAACGGATTCATAGAACGCCCCCCAGGTGAGCAGTTCCCAAATGCACGAATGTTGTAGGAAAGCGTTTCTTTCTCTCTTAAGCTTCTCTCACATGTCTTGCGGGATTTCGCTTCCCTCTGACTTGACTCCAATCAGATGCAAGACCCCAAAGGCATATCCCGCTACCCGACAACCTTTGCTGACTGGAGTGCGAACGAATGGCACCCGAGGTTTTACCATGGGAGCAACACCACACAGGATGTGATACGAATGATCAAGGTAGGGCTAGAAGGGTAGAAGGGTAGTTCTGTGTGTCTGGGAGTTGCACAGCTGTATTGTGAAAGCCACAATCATTGCAATGTAGCATTGCGTTTCCTCTCTCTCCAACCCCTTCACCCTTTACCGTCCCCTCTCTCTCGCTCTATTCTCTCTCACTCTCTCCCCCTCTCCCCCTCCCTCCCTCTCTCTCTCTCTCTCTCTCTCTCTCTCTCTCTCCTCTCCCTCTCTCTCCCCCTCTCTATCCACCCTGCAGTCTGCTACACAGTTTGTCACATTCCGGTCCTTCTGGCAAGACTTCTCAAGCAACTACTCACATGTAAGTCCTTCCACACTCCTGCTTCCCTCCATATGCCGCTTCAAACTTCACAACCTTCTTCAAATTTTCTTATTTGCTGCTACTCCATGACCCAACACCATGCTTCCACCATGCCTCTATGTTCCCATCTCACCAATCCAAACAAATGCCTGCTTCCATTTTATTAATCTGGTACTGGTGTTATTTGATACGTGTATGTTGCAGATAACCAACCCTAGTGTGCCCCGCCCTCCTCTGGTGAGTAGACTTGACACCTTGTTACAGTGCCTTGCAGCTAGCCTACCAAGATGCCTTTGCCTCCTCACTGATGATTAGCTTACTGAAAGGATTTTTGCTGCGCTTTTCTGTGGTTGTTTCTTGCAGTCGACTGAAGGAGGCTATTGTGTATTGAATGGCGAACCACGGAATTGCTTTTTGTTTGCTCGAAAATTTGATCACTCTACACTAGCTTTCTTGATGGGGAACTCAAAAGAGTTGCTAGGGTTTTGATTAATCTAATGGATGATGCTTTTTTTCCTAATATAATTTGCATTTCATTCTAGAGACCTTTTATGGGAACGATGCACATTTGGCTACACGTAATTCGGCCGTCCAGCTGGGGCTTTACCTTCATTTGCACTTGGTCGTACACGGTCGCTAGCATCGCACAGCAGTCGCCGAGCCCCGCCACCCAGAATGTTGGCTTGGCACAAGTACCGCAACTGCTGCCAATCTACAGTGTCCTTTGGCGGGAAGCAGCGCAGGCAGGCAAATCAAACCCCACCACCCCCCCCGCCCCACCTTGGGATTTGCGCCGAGTCAGCAACTTGACGCACCTCGGTGTCTGCTGCTGCTCCCTCCGTGCGTCCACGGTTTCATCCCGTCAGTGTGTGCGTACGGGAATGGCATGGGTGTTGTCTTATTGTTCGGTTGACGAGCTAGTTGGAGGAATAGTTACAGCAGATTAGGGAGACTCGAACTTAGGTCAGTCATGGGCTGCTGATTAGTATCCCTGGCGCCCAGGACGATCGCACTTCGATGCACTAGACATTTTGGACTAAGGCGTGTTTGATTAGGTTACTCTTGATTGGAATGGGGGCTGAGAGAAATTGTGGGTGATAGTTAGCAGCGCATCATGGGGTCGTCCAGAGCACCAGTCAGTGGCTGCGATGTAGCATTACGGCGAGCGCTCGTGCTGCGAGAAATTGCTAGACGCTTCATGGAACAGTCATGTCCGACGTTCTGATTTCTCTTAGATGCAGTCGCTATTCTCTTCCCACTGATGGTACCTGTCGGCGTTTCTGCCTGCCAGGATTTTCGATAGCGGTTTATGTTCAAGAGCCCTAATGTTGCACCAGTGCATTCGGTCATTCCGTCTTTGTAAGCCTAAGTTGCCTGTCGCGATATTGATGAAACGCAGTGCTGACCTGACATGATAAGGGACTGCTATTTTCTTTCATTGACTCGTACCCATGGCCTGTGTGGTTCCATAGAATTGTCCATACCAGCGCCTATCGACGCATTAGAGCAACCCGGGACTCACGTCGTCTTGATTCATTATAGCAACTTGACAATTTAGGTCAGCTCGACACACTAGCAGCATTTTAGGTCATCTCGACGCAGCTCGTCGCATTAGAACAATCTGACGACTTAGGTCAGCTCGTCGTAATATAATACTGCACTATTAGTCCATCAGCACGTCTCTAGGGCAGCGCCGCAGTTCGTGCGAGACGTTAGTAGCGCGAGTACTCCGCGACTCGGCCTATTCGCCATGGGGTGCGTAAGCTCCAAGGCCACGCTTAAAGACGTTGACGAACTCTCCACTGAAACGGCTGATCATCATGATGCTGACGTGGCATCTGATAAGCGGAAGGGACATGGCCGGCGAAAGCAAGAGAAGCAAGCGTCCCAGCAGCAGCAACCACCTGCCGCCGATTTTCAGGGGAAATTACCCACAGGCTCTGAACCAAGTCAGTCAATTAGCGCGAGTGTTGCCAGTGTACCAGCACCAAAGCCAGAAATTGGTGTAGACAGGCAAGAAGCAGAGTCTTTAGCTAAGAAAGATTCTCTGGCCGAAACATTGAACAGCATCTCCGGTGCCATTCCCGCTCAGACCAATCATACGCTGCAGGCCACCAGCGAAGCTGATGCTGACGCCAGCGCGGCTGCGGTTGCAGCCAAAGAGAAGCTGCCACGTCAGCCCCTTCCGCCTGTCATCCAACCCCCACCGCCCCAATCCGGCGCAATGGTGCTCGAGGTTCCAGGGGCCGGGTTCTGGCTGCGCTTCTCCTACTTGACGCAGCGAGGGTATTATCCAGAAGCCCCTGGGAAAGCGAATCAGGACAGCTTCTGTGTGGTTCCCCAATTCGGAGGTCTCCCCTCGGACCACCTCTTCGGCGTGTTCGACGGGCACGGGGAGCAAGGCACGCCGTGCTCGCAGTTTTCCCGGGACGTGCTTGCGCGGAACCTTCTGAACCACCCTGCGTTGGACTCGGACGTTCCGCGGGCGTTCAGGGACGCGTTCGTGACGACCAACATGGAGCTGCACCGCTCGCCCGTCGACGACACCATGAGCGGCAGCACGGGCATCGCCGTGCTGCTGCGCGATCGCATGCTGTACGCCGCTAACGTGGGGGACTCGCGCGCGGTGCTGGCGGAATGGCACATGGACGAGGCCGCGGGTAGACGGGACGGGGAGGGCGGCGAGGGAGCTGGCGGAGGGGAAGGGCGGGTTGGGGGAGAGGGGGGAGGCGCAGCAGAAGGAACGAGAAAAAGCGGTGAGGATGGGGCTGTGGTAGCAGAAGGGGAAGGGGGAGAAGGGGGAGGTGGAGAAGCGGGGAAAGAGAAGGAGAAGAAGCAGGGGTACTCAGCGGGGGGGGCTACTCTGCGCGCAGTGGACCTCTCGAGCGACCAAACCCCCTTCAGAGCGGACGAGTGCGCGCGCGTGCGCGCATGTGGCGCGCGCGTGCTAACCCTAGACCAGCTGGAAGGGCTCAAGGACCCCGACGTGCAGTGCTGGGGGGGGGAGGACGACGATGACGGGGATCCCCCGCGGCTGTGGGTGGCAAATGGCATGTATCCCGGGACAGCGTTCACGCGGAGTCTGGGGGACTCGGTGGCGGAGAGGATTGGCGTGTGCGCGGAGCCTGAGGTGCTCACTGTGGCGCTGTCTGAGCGGCACCCGTTCTTTGTGATTGCGAGCGATGGCGTGTTCGAGTTCCTGAGCAGTCAAGATGTGGTTAACATGGTGAGACGCGAGAGGTGTGGGACATGGAGCATGGTTTCTGTAGCATGGGGCTTGGGGCATGGGGTATGGGGCATGGGGCATGGCATGCAGCATGAAGCATGGGCATGGGGCATGGGGCATGAAGCACGAAACATGAAGCATGGAGGATGGAGCATGGAGAACGAAACGCGGTCATGGAGTATGGAACGTGGGGCATAGAACATGGAGCACGGAGCATCACACATGGGGAAAGAAGCATGGTATGTGGTGTTGGGGCATGAAGTGGGCTAGGGTGTGGTACATGGGGATGAGAGGGTAGTGGGTGCGTTTGTTGACCCAAGGACAGATGCTGGCGCCTGCAACATACAGGGGGTACCTGCAAGCTGTGAACATATACAGGCTCTGACTTGCTGCGAACACAAGCTCGTCTTTGCACCCCCGCCTTCCCCCACTTTCCCACACCCTTACCCACCTTCCCCTACCTTCCTTCATCCTCAACCTCACCCGCACCCTCTCCCTCCGCCTCACCCTCACACGACCCGTTTGGTATGTAAGGGGATTGAGGTGACTGTTGATTCGATTCAAACGTCATCGCGTCCCCGCATGTCTACACCTGCACTCTCACCCTCCCCTCACCCCACCCCTCCCGTCATGTTCTCTCCCGGGCAGGTGGCGCGGCACAACGACCCGTTTGCGGCGTGTGAGGAGATCGTGGCGGAGTCGTACCGGCTGTGGCTGCAGTATGAGACGCGCACAGACGACATCACCATCATCATCGTTCACATCGACACTGAGATGCCCGTCAGTGATCCCTCTGCCTGTTTTGATGCCGGTCAGGGCCAATTTTTACTGACCATATTAGTGCATTGCATCCTCTGCCTGTGACAATCCACCTCCACTCGGACAACATCACCATCATCATTGTTCACATCTCATCGACACTGAGATGCCCGTCAGTATCCCCCACACACATCCACATCCAAACTGAATCAAGCATCTCACCTCAGTTCCTGCTCCAACTCTTTCCCCTCCTCCCCACCCCTTTCCATCCTTCCCCCAAACCTTCCCCTCCCTTCCCCCCCAAGCCCGTTCGCCCCCCTTCCTCGTCCCACCTCCGCCCCTATCCTCCCCCCAAGCCTTCCCCTCTCTTCCCCCCTAACCCCGTTTTCCTCGACTCCCTCTTCCCCCACTCGCCCACTCCCTCCCCTCACATCCGTCCAGCAGGACAGCACCTTAGAAGCAGTGCAGCAGGGGGCCGACACGCGCCACGTCAACAGGCGTGCCACTCCCTCCCCCCACGCCACCACTGGTGCTGCCCACGTCCACAGCACTGCGTTCCATGCTGGCGGACCTGGGCGCCTTCCAGCGCCGCATCATTGAGGGCACCGACTTTGATCGGCCCCCCGCTGAGGATGACTGGTCCCCTTTCCCCCCTCTCCCCCTCCCCCACCTCATCCGCCCCTGCAGGACAGCACACTGGAGGCAGTGCAGCAGGGGGCAGCCCGCACCACATCAACAGGCGTGCCGCTACCTCCCCCCACGCCACCACTCGTTCTCCCAACGTCCACAGCGTTACGTTCCATGCTGGCGGATCTGGGTGCCTTCCAGCGTCGCATCATTGAGGGCACCGACTTTGATCGGCTCCCTGCTGAAGATGACTGGTCCCCACCCGCTGATGTTGCAGCCACCGCTGCACCTGTGGAGGTATCACTGCCCTCCCATTCCCACTTTTTCCGTCCCTTCACTTCTTCCCTGTGTTCCAACTCCTCACTCGTTTTTATTTAAACCCCTCCCCTCTCCCTTTGATATCAACCCCCCACTCCTCCTTTCCTTTCAACCCCAAACCTTTTTTTCCGTTTTCTTCTATCTCACCCCTCACATTTTCCCCCTGTATGTTCCCCCATGTCTTCCCTCCTCACCCCCCTCGCCCACGTCCCTCCTGTCCGCCCACGCCCCTCCTGTCCGCCCCCGTTCCTCAGCACCAGCTGGAGCATGCGCTGCGAGGGAACTTTCTGTTCCACAGCCTGTCGCACGAGCAGCAGGACTTCATGCTGCAGTGCTTCCAGAAGATGGAAGTGGGGCCGGGGGACGTTGTTATCCAGCAGGTGAGCATGGTATGGGGGATGGTGTGAAATCCTCATGCCTTGCACGAGCAGCAGGTCTTCATGCTGCAGTGCTTCCAGAAGATGGACGTGGGGCCGGGAGACGTTGTCATCCAACAGGTAAGCATGCCATGGGGGAGGGCATGGCGTGACGGAGCACATGTGCATGGTCATTGGCATAGGGGAGGAGGGGGGCCTTGTCTGAGTGAGCTCGAAAGTTACCAGACAAGGATCATCATCCAGCACTCGCCCATGGCATGCGGGAGGCTCAGCCAACCTAGGGATTCCAGTGCCATGCCTCGTCACTCCCCTTGGAATCAATGCTCTCGCCCTCTACTTTCCCCCTCACTATTTGCTTCTATGTGGTCACCCACCCCAAACCCCCCCCGCTCTCCCCTTATATGGACCATGTGCCATTCCATCTGCCTGGCAGGGCGATGTGGGAGACAAGTTCTTCATCTGCCACCACGGGGACTTTGATGTGCTTGTTGCCACAGACCAGGTGAGGGTGGCAGACAAACAGACACACACACTGCCAGGTGTTGGATTAATAGGTAGGCTCCGCTTAGTTAGGCCCTCTCCCCACTCCATGCCTCCCACCCCACTCCCTCCCTCCCTCCATTCCTTGCTCTCCCTCCCACACCCGGTCTCCACTGCACATGGAAAATCTAGATTTGATGAACTGGTCCTTTGTGCGCATCTGTGCTCTTCCTGGCTATCCCACGCTTTTCTGTCCTCGTTATTGAGTGTTTCAGGTGGAGGACGACCCTCTTGGGGTGGTGGTTCATCGCTACATTGCCAACGACAAGCACATGCCTAGTTTTGGCGATCTCGCACTTATGTAAGCACTGCAGCAGTTTTAAATTGCACCCGGGTCTGACTACACTATTTCCCTTTCATTCACTTTTTTTTTTTTTTTTTACCAACCCTCCCGCTGCCCCCTCCCCCCTCTCCAGGTACGGGACAAGAAGGGAAGCGTCCGTGCGGGCGGCATCGCGCGGAGTGTTGTGGTTCCTGCAGCGGGCGCTGTTCCAGAAGGTGCAGACGCTGGGGCTCGTGGCAGGCTCCGCGGAGATGGGCCCTCCGCCCCGCCTGCTGCGCCTCCTGCGCTCCCTGCCCTTCCTCTCCCCCCTCTCCTTTGGCCAGCTGCAGCGGCTGGCGCTCTTCTTGCTCACGCTTGAGCTGAACGATGGGGATGGGCTGGAGATGGAAGGCGGCACGGTATATGTGGTGCAGGAGGGGAGGTTGCTGCTGACAGGTGATGCGGATGGGGGAGATGGGGAGGATGGGGATGGGGGAAAAGGGGAAGGAGCAGGGAGGGAGGGGAAGGGGGAGGGAGAGGGCGAAGGGGGGAAGAGTGATGGTGATGCGGAATCGGGTTTGCAGTATTTTAACGAGGCGTGTTTGTTGGATGGGGATGATGACGGTACTAGGCCTGCGAATCCAGACACACAGGCAGCTGCAGGTGTGGAAGGCAGGGAGGTAGAGGAGAATGAGCAGCAAGGGAAGCAGCAGGAGGACGGAAGGCAGGAGGGGGAAGCAAAGAGGAAAGGATGGACGGGGGGGCCAAGGAAGGCAGTTGCGAGGGGGCAGGTGCAGTGCTGGGCGATCGACAGAGACAAGTTTGAAGCAGCTGTGGGGCCGCTGAGCGATGCGGTGCGGGTGGATGCAGAGTGGTGCCGGTTCCAGGAGGCCCTGGCGGCAAAGAGGCAGGGGGACGAGATGCGGCAGATCCTGGAGGGGATTGTGGCGGCTGAAGTGGTGAGTGAGTGGTGTGAGACGGTGCGAGTGACAGTTTCTTCAATACAGGAGTGACGGAACCCATTGCTCTCAAGCCAGAGAGGAGTAGTGCGAGTTGGTGTTTCTGTTCGTGCTGCTTCCAGTATCCCCCACTCGCTCCCTCCATCCTTCCCCTCACCCTCTTGCCTTCCCCTCACCATCCGTCCATCCATGCACCCCCCTTCTTCTGGGCATCAGGAGTGGCAGGACGTGCTAGCGGTCAATGAGTGGAGTGAGCTGGTGCAGCTGCTGGTGCTGCTTCCACTGCCCTCACCTCCCCCCCTGTGTTGTCCTTCCGTTCCCCCCGTCCCTCCCCCCCCCCCCCGGTGCAACAGGAGTGGCAGGACGTGCTAGCAGCCAACGAGTGGAGTGAGGTGGTGCAGCTGCGAGTGCAGAACGTGGGGAGGGTGTTTGCCATGCGCCGCTTTGGCAAGACACGCATGGGACTGCACGGGCGAGCCAAGCAGGTGCGTCTCCCTAAACCTCAGTGGGACTATATTCTAGATGGGTGGGTGGGTGGGTTGCACCTACCAAAGTTTTGTAACAGGTGTGCACCTCAGTGGGTGTGCTATTCACTTCCCACTTGATGATACAACGTGGTCCCAATGCCCCTCGCAAATCTCCTCTCTCATTCCTCCATCCCTCTCACCTCCCCCATCCCTCACTCCCCCCATCCCTCATTCCCCCCATCCCTTACTCTCCCCACCCCATCCCTCACTCCCCCCATCCCTCACTCTCCCCATCCCTCACTCTCCCCATCCCTCACTCCCCCCATTCCTCACTCTCCCAATCCGTCACTCCCCCATCCCTCACTCTCCTTGTCCATCTCACTCTCCCATCCCTCCATGCCTTCTCTTCCACACCCTTCCAGGTCCATCGGGAGCGCAATCTCTTCGAAACCCTCTCGGCCAATCCGTTTGTGCCACCTGTCATCACACCATACACCGACCATGCCTCTGTGGGCCTGCTGCTGGACTGCCAGCTCAGCACACCGCTGGCTCTAGTTATGGGCGGCAGGGAGGGAGCGGGCGGGCAGGCAGGGCCCGACGTCTTCCCACCACTGCCGGAAGATGCTGCTCGGTTTGTGGCGGCCAGTCTCGTCATCGCAATGGAGCTCATGCACCGGGTGAGCTGGTTGACCTGGTTTGACTTGCGTTGACATGCATCTTTGTTCTGTTTCCACCCACCCTGCTCTCCGCCGTTTTTATCTCCTTGTGAAGGATGGGCTCATCTGAAAGTTCTGTATCTAGTGTTGCTGCCATTCAACGAGGTGTAATGTGCGTGCTTGTCTCCCTCCCTGCCCGTCCCTCCCTGCCCGTTCCTCCGTGGCCGCGCGCCCACCAGGACGGGGTGGTGTTTCGAGGTGTGTCGCCCTCCACCCTCTTCCTCGACTCTCGTGCCCAACTGCAGGTGGGTGGGGCCAGGGGAAGAGGGGCGGGGTGGGGGGAAGAGGGGTGCAGACGGGTGCGGCAAGGGAAAGAGGGGTGCGGCGAGGGAAAGAGGGTGGGGCAATGGCAAGAGTGTGGGAGGTAGGTGCATTGTGGAGACTTGCTGCTTCTTTCCAACCGGCCTTCTCTCCTTGTTGCCTGTGCCTCTCGTTGCTCCCCTCTACAGCCCCCCAACCTTGCAAGCGCCTCGAGGATGGGCTCGCGTTCACCATGTCTCTCCTCCCTCTCCTTTCTCCCTTCCCTGGCACCCCCCCTTCCCCACCTTCCTTCAGCTCCCCGATCTGCGCTTTGCCAAGCGGCTGGAGGACGGGCGCACGTTCACCATGTGTGGGTCGCCTGACTTCGTGGCACCGGAGGTCATTGCGGGCCGCGGCCATGGCGTGCCCGCTGACTGGTGAGATGGGATGGGGTGCTGGCTGGGTGGAGGCATTAAGGGGGTTAGGGTTGGAGGTTCACCATGTGCGGGTCGCCGGACTTCGTGGAACCGGAGGTCATTGCGGGGCGCGGTCACAGCATGCCTGCTGACTGGTGCGATGGGCTGCTTGGTGGGTGCAGGATTTGGGGGGGGGGGGGGGGGGGGGGGGAAGAGGGTGGTGTTGGGTTGGAGGTTTGCCTTTTGTGGGTGTTTTAAAATCTCTTAGAAAACTTGCTTTTTCTTGTGTCATTGTCTCATGCGGCTTGCTTCACATGATTGACCTCCTGTGTTGCACTCCTCATCATGCTCCTCATACCACTACCTGCACTACTGTCACACATGGACACACTCCTTCCCCCCACAGGTGGTCCCTGGGAGTGCTCATATTCGCTCTGCTGCACGGGGAGGGTCCCTTTGGCTCGTGGAGGGACAGCGAGCTGACAGTGTACACACGCATCGCCCGCCACGCACTCTTCCTGCCCGACCACCTTCCCCCCGCCGCCTCCGCTCTCATTCACCAGCTGCTCTCCCCCCGCCCTGAAGACAGGCTCGGGTGCGGCCCTGGCGGTGCTGGGGCTATCAAGGCCCACCCCTGGTTTGCTGGCGTGCCGTGGGAACAGGTGGCGGCGCTGGATTGGCCGGCGCCGGAGGAGCTGGTGAGGAGGGTGGCGGAGGTGCAGGGGGAGAGGGGGAGGATGACGGAGGAGGAGAGGGGGCCGGGGGTGGCGGGAGAGGAGGAGAGTGCGGAGGGGCAAGGTAGAGAGGGGTCGGAAGAGCCGCTCTGGTTTGAGGGCTGGTGATGGAGTGGGTGGTTGGAGGTGGGGGGTGCTGGAGAATGGGAGTGGTGGAGGGCCAAAAGCTGGGTCGTGGTTAGGAGGTTGCATGCACGTTTAGGATAGGGCCAAAAGCTGGGTGGTGTACCCCTCTTCAGATGCAGTGCCTCGTTTAAGGGTGAATTCATCTCCACAATGTAGTCAACACTTGAAAAGTCTCAGACCAAACAAGCTGCAACAACAACAGCAGTACACATTGTGTGCAAAAATCAGTAAATTTACCGGACTAGTTATTTATTTGTGCACCTCCGACGAGCTGGCTTGCCCGAGTGGTCCAAGGGGGGAGACTTAAGATCTCTTGTGCTTCAGCACGCGTGGGTTCAAACCCCACAGCCAGCAGTTTTCAAGGGGTAAGGATATGGTTTGTTTTATCTTGTGTAGGACCTTTTAGAGCCCTGATTATTCCTCTTACCCAATGAAAGACAGTCCTTTAATTTTACAAGAAAGCAGAAAAGACACCACTGGAAATCGTGGCGATGAGCTTTTTTGCAATTTCAGACTCACAATCAAGCACAGGGTGGTCAGCAGGACTAGCTCACACAGCAAATTACGTGGAGCCAAAGGGGAAGACTCAAATTCATACTTGCCCTAATTACCGCAGTAGTCTCTTCCAGTTGACACAATGTGCTCATCATTAGCATCTTATTCTGGGATATCTTGAGGTCAAACAGAGATGAATACTTCTCTAATCCCATCTGTGAACGTGACTATCATTAGAGGCCTGTTGCTCTCCCCAAAACAAAGGACTGGTACCCTGCTTCTAGCCCTTCTGCGGCCCATCTTACTGCACTCAATGCAATTGCTTTCTACAACCCTTTCAACTGCCCTTTTTTCTGCCATTTTTGCTGCCCTTTCTGCTGCCCTCACTGTTGCCCTTACTGCCCTGCAGCTGGCCTTGACCCAGGTGTGGACAGATTGCTGGGATCGTGCAGAAACGTGGCCAGTATGACCTGCAGAGAGGGGAAGGACATGGCTTCGGAATAAATGAGTACCCCAATGCACCCTCACACCTGTCCCCTTTTCCCGTTCCACACGCTCCTACACACCCCAGAACCCCCGATCCGACCAGCTTCTCACCTGCACAGGTGTGGCAGCGACGAGGCGGCCCGCCACACCGCCGCCCACAACACGGCCTTTGGAGCTGACGAGGCTCACGCTCAGCCCGCCCCTGTTCCCCCCACCCCTTACACCATCCACACGCACTCCCGACCACCAGCGACTCACCTGCACGGGCGTGGCGGCAACGAGGCGGCCCGCCACACCGCCGCCCACAACACGGCCGTTGGAGCTGACGAGGCTCACGCTCAGCCCGCCCATGCGCCCATCGGGGTCCGCCGGGTCGTGCGGCAGGAACGAGCCCGACATGTTCAGCAGCTCAAAGCGACCCTGGGGGAGGATAGGGGGGGTGTTGAAGGGGAAGAGAATGGAGATTGTAAGAGCAGAGGCAGCCCGGCAAGCTCAGCTGATAAGAACGGCTTAAAAGGGGGTGTGGGAGGGGAGCGGGAGGAGGAGGGGGGAGACTGGAAGAGAGGAGGGTAGGAACGAGCCCGACATGCTCAGCAGCTCAAAGCGGCCCTGGGGGAGAGGGGAAGGGTAGGGAGGATTGGGGGAGTGGAAGAGAGGGAAGCGGAGAGAGTCTGACGAGCTCAGCAGTTCAAACTGGCCCTGGCTGGGAAGAGAGGGACTAGGTCAATTCAAAATTAGGCTTTCTTAGATGAAATTTTGCAATCAAGGCAATATTGTGATGATTGAACCCATTTCCAGCATGTACCTCCAAACCAAACTTGCAGCATGGGCAACCGGGGGAAAAGGTGAGAGAGAGGGGGGATGGGAGAGTGAGGAGGGAAGGAGTGGGGGGAAGTATGGGGAAGAGATACAGACAGGAGTAGCACTCATGGCTCATGAAGCAGGGAAGAAAGAGGACATCTCAAGAGGCAAAAAAGGCATCCTGCGAAGACAATGCACTACACCATGGGACCTCTCTGCACCGCATTGCACCTCGTGAATGGTGGTGTTGGCGCCGCCTGAGGGGTCTCGCAGAGTGGCGCTGGAAATTGAGCCGTTGGCGGAGAGCACGCACACGCCCACGTTCGGCCCTGCCTGCGACTCGAGGAATATGCGCGTCGCCACGTCCTGCGAGGGGAAGAGGCAGGAGGGGGGGGGAGGTAGCGGGGAAACGGGGGTGGAAAATGTTGATCAGGAATTAAAATAAATAATAATAATAATAATAATAATAAACCTTCCAGCAAGCGTGCCTGACCGTAACTTATATTTCTTGCAAACCGAACGTCACTACAGGGAACAGGTTAACTTTGAAACTGAGTAATAATAACAATAATAAATCCACGTCCTAATTTAGAGAGCTTACCTCATCTGGAGCGAGAACGAGCACTCGCGGGTTCACTGTGAGAGACACGTGGGCACGGCGGGAAACACGGGGGCGCGGAAGGACAGACGAGGACTGAGGGCTAGTGGAGGAAAATACGGAGATTGCGAAAGGGAATAAAGAGCGCGCGACACCGCGCAATGCGGAAGGACGAGACTCGCGGTGACAATGCCGTGACGCCAGAAGGTGCGCGAGGGAGGTACGAACAGCAGCGGGAAAGAAAGAAAGAAATAAATGAAAAAAGCTGGTCAATTTCTAATTAATTTTAACGAGTACAAGCAGCGGCCTCCTACATTGCGACAGTGGCTTGCTCGCGCTGTAAATCGCGCTGCTTCCTGCTGACGTGGCAGCACGCTTTGACTGACGTGGCTGTGCGTCATCGTCCTCGACTGCTCTATTTCCCGCTGCTCTAGCGGAGACTGCTCTAGCCGCCGCAGCTGGAACTCTCGAGGGCGTTCCTGCAGCGCCAGTCGCGGGGCTCGCGCTATCGGGCAGAGGGTTTTTTCTCGGACGACCTCTCGGGCGCTTGGCTGGCGGTTCTGACATAATGGCAACTATGGCGACTGGTCTAACGGACTGGAATTTTGAAAATATACAATTAAATTGCTGAAACGGAAAACGTGAGTTCCCTCGATAACTGTTGTGGCTGAGTAGTTTCGCGTTAAAAGGCATCTGCGATACAACCGCGTTGACATCCGAGAGAGAGCGTTAGAAAGTGCTCACCTGCCACCTAACTGCATAATCAGAACCATGTTTTGCACAACCTCCCTAGTTTAGGCAGTATCTTTGGATAAACGGAGGTATGCATTTGCAAAATAGAGAAATATAACTGAACTTCATCAAAGCTCCACATCAAATCAATATGAAGAATAGGGCTCAACCCTATGGAATCAGACATTCCTAATTGCAATTCCACATTGCTCTGACGGCCAATGCCAAAATAAAGGGTCCTAAAACAAGGGCTCTTGTTCATTACAGGAAGTACGACTTCTTATCTAGATATCTAACCAATCATAAGAGAGCTTGGCAACATCTGACACTCCAAAATCCCCAGAAACTGCTGCCACAGCAGCATTCTACTAATTATTCCCTGAAGACCCCATACCCCCAACTCATTTTCTCTTGAACACGCAAGTATCATTCAGATACTGCAGATTCACTGGGTTAAAAGCAACACTGCAGTCCATGACGTGCGTGTAATGAGTTTGCACAATCTTCCACGCCATCTCGATCCGCGAGTTCACCTCCGCATGAAGACTCATGCTGATGTACTCGGCCATGATATCCTGGCGCAGCCCTGGGCCAACGCCGTATAACGGGTACATGGCTACACCCACTGACGTCGTGAAGTTGGTGAAGTTCTTGGAACTGAGCGCGAAATAGGGCAGCTGGAGTGGGCAAAGATAGTGGCAGGAGAACAAAGGTGGTCGTAGGTGAATAGGGAGTGGAATTCAGGCACGCAGAAAACATGGTCACAATTTGATATGCCCAGATTTTGATAAGACATAACTCAATGTGAGAGGGAGAGGGAAAGAGGGAGGGGGGAAGAGGGAGAGGGGAGTGCAGCGAAGACTGATAAGACACTTACCCCTCCTTGCATGAGCGTGGGAATGGAGCTGTAGCCGACTTGCAGCAGACCGCCATCGCCCTGTAGCGTGTACTTTCCGTTCGGGTTGATCGCAGAGAAGACGAAAGTAACGTTTGCGAAAAGCTGGTCTGTCGGCAAGCCGGTCCCGTCGGCGAGCTTGTTGACGATCTGGAACTCGTTGAGCGTCGCATACTGAAACCATCGCCAGGGGGGGGCGGGGATAACAGAGGAAAAAGGATGAGCATGCTTAAAAACAAGACTTGCCTGAAGCTGATGTAAAAGTGACGTGGGCGGTGACCCATAGACTCTCAACCCAAGACGCGGGTGTAATAAAACGAAGGTACTTACATCGAAGGTGTACGTGGGAGCGTCCGGCTGGAACACGTAGTAAAGCGCGATGCCCGTCGCAACGGCCGCGAGCACGAGAGCCAGGATGCCCACCACAATGCAGATCGTCCAGAACCGCTTGCTCCGCTTCGACCGCCCGCCAGACGCCTCCTTCGCAGGCGGCTCGTACAGCTGCTCCTCCTCGTCGACCTCCTCGTTGATCCGCGACGAAAGTGGCGCGATGGCCGCCGCGCGAGCCGGCGCGCCGTAGACGCGCGACGAGCCTGGCTTCCCGGACCGCACGCTGCGCATGTCGTACGACATGGTGTGCGCGGGGGAGTCGGGGACCGAAGACATGGGGGAGCCTGGGCGCTCGGAGTGCGCGGGGGTCTGCACGTAGTAAGGGGGCGCGCGGAACGGGGACTGCCCCAGCATAGCGTCGTTAACGCCAGGAGTTTCGACGGTGTAACCGGGGTGCTCGTATTGCGGGGCGTAGTACGCGGGGCCATTGTTGCTGCGGGCGGAGCGCGCGGGGGAGTCAGGGGGCGAAGAGGCGGCATCGCTGAACGACGGGCGGTTGGACGAACCGCCTACGCCAGATTTACGCGCCCATGAAGGGGTTCGGTTCCCTGCGCTGGGGTTAGCTGGTCCGCCGTACAAGGGATTGGCTCTAGGGCCTGTGGCCGAAACGTTGCTGCGCTCTGACATAGTTACGGATGCTAATGTGCGTTCCTAAGTTCCTCTCTTCAGTGTCTTCGCAGATCGTAAGCTCGAGCCTTCCTGCTATGCTTGCTAGATATCAGTTGAGCAGATTAAGGACCACAAGCTGTAGTCTAGGCGCCCAACTGTTGACACTAAGAATGGCAGCTAGTTTTGGACGAAGATGTGAGTGTCGTTGTGATTGCTCACGGAATGAAATAGAGCCAAGCCCTTGAAACCAGGCTAGTTCCAGGGCAGCTACGAAGCCAGGGTGGTTGTGGTCGTGCTAGGCGTTAGAGCGAGAGTGAGCGCTGGTGCACAAACGAGCCCGCACGCAACGGTACACCACAGCTGTGGAGGGTGACGAGGGTAGCGCGAGTTTTGCTCCCGCTCGTTAGTTGCACCGTGACACCGCGAGTGCGGTTTGGCTTGGGATGTAGGTACGGCACTCGATACTCTGGTTTGTTGCTTTCTATTCGTGATTTCTGGGGTAGTTTATTAAGTTCCGTCTCCTCCTCATCTACACAAAACTTGTGAATTCAGGCCCTATAATGATTTATTCACCACCCCTTTTCTCCGAAATCATTGACTTCAATTGAAGGGAACATAGACGAAGTACCCGTTTTCGGAAGGCCTGTCTAGTATTTTGCAGAACGCAAACACCGAACCACACAGCTCGACGTCAGTGGTCGAGGGGAAGCGCGCGAAGCGCCCATCTTCCCGTGACACACGGCTGGTCAGGCCCTCAGACCGCGGTACGCGCTGCGCAGTGCTTGCTCGGAATCGTCCGTCGATGACATCGGCGTGAAGAATGTTGGCCCTTGGATGATTCAAGATCTTGAGGGCGCAGGCAGATTGCCATGCGAATGGCATTTTACCGAAAGTCCGATTTCATCGGACAATTCGTGCAATTAGGTCAACCTCGTTTGAATCAAATGCCGCACAAATGATCGAGGTACAGGTTTGTGTTTCGTTAACACAGCATTCATTACAAACAAAAACAAGTTTTACATCAAAATGGAACTATGCCTACCATTGCATCCAAAAATGGAATACACATCCTACTTGCTCCTCTTTGATTGTACCGCATTCTTTTGAGCGGCATCTCGAAGCTTGAGAAGGAAATCAAGTGTATTGGCATAAGCAGGATCGGAAGTGTTGACTGGCTTGCAAGCATTGATGTGATCAGTCCCATCCAACACCTGCACATTACACGATGGAAACATAACAAATTACCCCAACTCATGCCACAAACACGCGATGTCATACTGTCTTGACAAGCACAAAACGGCTACCGTGAATCATGAATGAAGGCCACACACACACACCCCAATGATAAATTCACCAGCTCACCACAAACTCCCCGAATCCCGGATAGGCTGACTCCAGTGGAACCACCTCCAGTCGCAGCGTCAGCCCTCCGTACGTCTTCCCTAGAGGCGTGACCTTCGTCTGGTCATGGGCGAGCGGGAGAGACACACAAACCACAAAAATGTGGGGGAGAGGATTTTTTTTTTTTTTTGGTGGGGGAGAGGGGGGGGGGGGGTGTAGTGGGAGGGGGGAGACTGGGGAACGTCCATTACATTCAAGGGCTCGCAGTTCCCCACATAGGCATGTCCTCCATTCCAGCCAATCCCTATTGCTAACTTGATTTTTTTGTGACAATGTTCAGCAAACAATATGATGTAGGGGTGTGCCAATATGGAAGCCTCTGACTTCATCCCAACTACACCAAGCCCTCCCCCTACTCACACACCTCAGCGAAGGAGAGCACTTGGATCCTGCCCTGCTTGTGCATGTGCCTCAGCATGGTGTTGAGACCCTCCACATGCGGTGATGACATGCGCAGACAGTCCGCCTGCATGCACCAAGTTGGGCATTGCGATTGCTTGAATGAAGCACATCTTACAGGTTGACAAGCAGTGTGCAATGAAACGTAAGTGAGGGTGAAAGCAAGCCAGAAATCATGCAGCGAAGCAGAGTTATGATGAGGGTCGAGTGCACGGAGAGAAACAGGATACAGCACCAGCACAACAAGCAGCAATGGAAACGCTTCCTGTGTTGATGTCACAAGGAAGCAGAGAGAGGGAAGGTGGAGACGCACCGAAGGTGCGGGTCGCAGCACGGCTCGGGCTCTCCAGGAGATGTCTGCAATCCTGCTGCCGAAGTGCGGCACCGAGTAGAAGACCTGCACAAGGCAAGGCGCAAGGGGAGAACGGGCGTTGAGGAATGGAACAGTGGGGTTCAGCGCTGTGGGGAAAAGACGTGAGCCATGAACAGGGATTCATGAGGCATGGATGGAGATTTCCTCTGGCATGCAGCTGCACTCACTGGCAGGTCGCTGGCACGTGCGAGGGCGAGCATCTGCTTCACAATGAGCCCAGCCCACCCGTGCTGTGCGTCACAAGGACAGAATACCAACCATACGCGCACTCACAAACAGATGACTCACAATGGCAGCAGCACTCACAATGCCGGCTGTGCTGTCAGCCATGGCTCGAATCTCCGGCAGGTCACTGGCACGCGCGAGGGCGAGCATCTGTTTAACGATGAGCCCACCCATGCTGTGCGTCACAAACACCACGGGTCGCTCGCCCACCCCTGCTGCCACCAGCTTGCGCAGCAGGAGGATGCTGATGTCCTGCGAAATGAAGGGGAAGGGGGAGGGGGGGGGGGGGGGGGGGGGGGGGGGCGGGTAAAGGAAGACTCATACGATATCTCATATAACGTCACAGACACCACCGGCCACTTGGCCACACCCGCTGCCACCAGCTTGCGCGGTAGATAGATGCGGGAGGGAAGGTGGAGCAACCGAGGACAATCAGGCTTTCATTCATATCTCTCCCAACGAGACAACCCCCGAAAAAACAAAGAGGCAAGTTCTTACATGTAAGTAAAATGAAGGCTCACATCTCATAGGAAGAAAACACAACTTATCAAGACGATGTGAGAACGGGGCACTCACCTGTAGTGGAAGGGTCGCCCCTGCCCACTCTGAAAGATTTGTCTGCAATGAAGGTTGGGAGACAGGCAAATTGGATGGTGGAAAGAGCAACAGGTGGAAAAGGCAGGAAATAGGTAAGAAACAGGCAGAGTTGAGAAGTCAGTAAGAGGAAATTTGAAGCGTCTGGAACCGCCCTTGCACTTTATTCATCATACATGTGAAGCCAGTGAGATTCGCAGGACATTAAGAGACCGCATGGTTACAAATCCCAGCATCAACAAGGCTGAAAGAAAAAGGGAGAAGATACACACCCTGTACTTGGTGGTGAGGATGTGTGCCTCAGGCAGGTCCCTGGCGAGCCAGTCACATGGCCAGCATGACCCCTTCTTGCCCCCCTCCTCCTCCTCCTTTAGTGTCTCCTCCAGCAGCTGTGATGGCTCCACCTCCCCCACACTCTCCCCTCTCCCATGTATTAGCTCCTCCATTTCTCCCTCTAACCTTTGCTCCTCACTAGGGCCCGACACCAGAGGCGGTATCGCTACAGCTATCCCTGCTATGGTCGGCTCTTTTCCTGGCAGTTTCGCTACAGGCGCCACAGGTGCTCCTGGAGGCGGTGCTGCAGCAGGCACTGCCTCTCCCCTGCGCCACGACTTGAAAGGGCCGCCCCTCAGCCCGTGCACAAACACCACATCCAGGACAGGCGCAGGGGGCTTGCTCACAGAGGAGCGGGCTGGGGCGGAGGAGGAGGAGGCGACATAGGAGGAGGAGGAAGGTGACGAGGTAGAGGAAGGGGAGGGAGAGGAGAGGGGGGAAGGGAGGGAGTGGGCTTGGAGCCATGGGCTGGTGGGGTTGACAAAGAAGATCCCATCATCATACCTTGGCGTGAACTGGTTCCCTGGCTCGTGCCAGCCTGGCACCGCCACGTCACCCTCATCATGGCACCCTGGAGCTGACGTGGAAGCACTAGCAGCGACAGATGCAGGTCCTGGTAGAGCATGCGATTTCTCCGGGGCATGCAGAGCATGCACGGCGGGAGCGGCGTGTGAGAGCACCTTGCGGGCATTGGAGCGCATTTTCTTGCTCACACAGGCCTCACAAAGCAGACGATCGTACTCTTCTGAGTCCGAGTCCCACTGCTCTGAGCTTCTCATGCCACGGGCTGACAGAAGCACGCGGTGCAAGAGAGCTGTGTCACCCCGCTCTTGTCCTCCACGGCTTTCCTCCGCCTCCCTCTTCTTCTCTCTCCCATTTTCACTCGCTCGCTCACTCCCTCGGCCTCTCCTATCCTTCGCATCCTCGCGCACCCCGCCTGTGGTGCACTGTTCAAGCCAGCCAATCAGAAGCGGGTCTCTCGCGATGGTTGCCCACGAGTCAGGGTGAGCTGACAGCTGTGCCAGCAGCCGGGCGGCATTCCTTTGGAGCCTTGTGAGCTTCGCCCTGGCCGCTTCCAACCCCTCTTCTGCTGCCACGTCAGCAGAAGCAGCTACTGTAGCTCCAGCTGTCACTGCTGCTGACGTGGCACTGGCGGGTTGGGATCCTAGGGGAAACTTTGGCTTGGACGTGGCGGCGGCAGTGGAAGTGGCAGTGGGAGTGGCAGTGGGAGTGGCAGCTGCAGTGAGGCCTAGCAGCAGGCCTTTCTTCTCACACTCTTCCCCAGCACTTTCTCTCCTGCTGCTCTCACCATCGTCACTGCTGCTGCTGCTGCTGCTGCTGCTGCTGCTGCTGCTGCTGCTGCTGCTTTGGTTTCTTTCTTCTAGCTGACTCCTTCCCTCCTCAGAACCCTTTACAGCACCCTTCCTAGCCCCATCCTCAGCGCCCCTTGCAGCACCATTTCCGTCCCTACGCCTTACCTCCTCTTCGCCTCTCACCCACTCCCAGTACTCCCGACCAATCAGCAGCCGCCGCATCAGCTCCACCCCTCCACCTGCCACCAGCTGCTCCTGCATCTCCCAATCCTCGCTCGCCAGCTCAGCGAGCGCTTTCACCGCTGCTGCAGCCGCGTCCAGAGCTTCCACAACATTCACACGTGGAGGCTCATCACTGGCTGAAGGTTTATCCTCGTTAGAAGCTACCAGCCCTGACCGTGTAGAGTACAGCCCTCCTTCAAAGCCCAGCAGATCCATTAAATGCTCATGCTCCTCTTCTGCTGCTTTAACCAGTTCATCTACAGTACCATTCACTGTAGCATCAGCATCCTTTCTACCAGTGGCACCAGAAACAGCAGCAGCAGGAGCGCCACCAGCAGCTGGGCTGGATCTGCTGCTGGCCTTACCTGCATCGCTTACAACTGGTACAGAATTTTCTTCTCCCGTTTCCCCCAAACCCTCCCTCATACCCACTCGCCCCAAGCCGTCTACCTCTTGCTCCTCTGAACGCACTCTGCTGCCCTTTCCCTCCCCAGACTCCATGGCGCCATGCCCTTTTCCCCGTACGTTCTTCAGTTCTCCTACACCTCCCCTCCCACCACCCTCTCCCCCCCATCCCCACGCCTCGCTCCCAAGCGCCTCACCCAGGCGGACAACAGCAGTGCTGGCGGACCTGAGAGCCTCGTCCCTCACTGCGCGGTGCTTCTCACTCAACGCCCCTCCCAGCGCACCAACCACCTCCCCAGTCACCGTCCCGCTCACTGCCCCACTCCTCTGCCCTGCCCGCCCCACCACAACCTTCTCCCTTCCTCCCTGTGCCTGCCCAGACCCTGTCCCCGCTGCCTGTCCCCCTGCTCCTGCAGCTCCCGACCCACCCCACGGGTTCACATACGCCCACCACGACGACTTCTCTCCTGCACTCCCACTTGCACTCGCTCCACCTGCCCCTCCATGCAACCCCTTGTCAGTCGATTGCTTGCTGAGAAACTCTCCCCCACGCACTGCAGCCTCTGGCACTGCATGGTTCTGTGGAGCTTTCCCAGAAGGATCAACCCCACTGGGTTGATCTGCAGCTAAGGCTGAGGACCCTCCCCCCTCTGATCCCTTCCCTCCTCTCCACAGCGACTCAAGATATTTCATAGTCGCTACAGTCATCCCCACACTCTCCGCTCCATTTCCCCCTCCCTGCCTCCCCGCCTCTCCCTTCCTGCCCGCACCCCCTACTTCCCCTGAGCCCACTCCCGCCCGACCACTCTTCACTGCCTGCCTCGCGGCCTCCCCATCCCTGACAGCGCACATGAGCATTTCAGAGAGCCACAGCAGACCCACGCCCACTGCCACATCTGTCCATTCCTTCCCATGCTCGTAGCTCTCCACTCCCCCACCCCCCACACCCATCCCTGCCTGCCCCTTTTCCACTGCCCCCTGTGCCTGCTTCCCTACAACCTGAAATTCTTTCTCCACCCGCCCATTCCTCCACCCCGCCTTTCCTTCCATGCCACTCTCTTTCTCCTTCCCTGCACTCGCCCTTCCTCGCTTCCCCTTCCCGGCCCTGTCCTTTCCCCCCAATGTCACGTCCACCCCACGCGCATCCACAGCAGCAGCAGAAGAATGCAAAGAGGAAGAGGCATCATGTGCCATGTGAACAGCAGCAGATAGCACCTCCACCAGAACAGCCTGTCCAGCTGCAGCAGTGGCAGCCACGGCAGCAGACGGCACCAGATTCGACTCCAAGAAGCTCCTTGCCGGCCTTCTTCTGTCGCCCCCAGCTGCTGCCGCACCTCCTGTACCTCTCTCTCCTGCTGCTCCTCCGCCCTTCCCTTTTCCTGCCCCTCCTCCTCTTTCTTCTGCTCCTCTTGCTCCTTGTTCACTTGCTCCTGGGTTCAATTCCCCTCCATCGCCCATCACCCCGCACGCCCATCTCACCAGCACGGGACCCCACGCCCGCAGCTCCTCCGCAGGCATCACAACTGTTGGTCGTGATGGTGTGGTGCGGAGTGGAGTTGGCAAGTGGGATGATACTGCTGCTGCTGGCACCACTGCTCCTGTTTCTGCCGCCTCCGCTGCTGATGCTGATGCTGGCACTCCTATCAGCCTTCCCACTGCCGCCGCCTCATACACCCGCCGGCCGAGCACAAGAGACGCTACAGCCTGCGCTACAGCCAGGTTCACCACCTCCTCCTCCTCTGCCTCCTCCCGTTCCTCCACACTTCCTCCCTCCATTTCCCTCCGCTCCTTGCTCTTCCCTGTTCGCACACCCCCTGGAGGAGCAGCACGAGCAGACTGCACGTCAGAATCATGCCTCTTGGTGGGAACACCGGGGGAAGAGCTAGAAGCAGAGGCCGATGCAGTAGCAGAGCCAGAGGCAGAGGCAGCATGAGTGGCAGCAGTAGTAGAAGCAGCCAGTACACGCCTCAGCTGCGGCAATGCCTCCAACGCAATTCCCTCGCGCAATGAAGGTTCAGCAGCCCCCCCCACATCATTGCTGATGCGCGCCACATCATCACTGATGCGCGCCACATCATCACTGATGTCGGCAAGCGTGCGCAGGGCATGCAGGGCGGCAACCGTGACATCAGTGCTTAGATGCTGAAAGGCAGAGGAAGGAGGGCATGCTGAGTTCAGCAATGCGCCAGACCAGCTGCATATGGCTGCTGGCCTCACAAACAGGCTTGCTGCTGCTGCTGCCTCTGTTCCTCCTGGCCCTTCTCCTCCTGCCCCAGTTGCAGTTCCTTTTCCCCTGGTTCTGCCTTCTTCCATCGCCCCACCTTCACTTCCTGGCCTCTTCTTCATCTCCGTCCCTCCACCCACGAATTTCTGGGACCCCACAACCACAGCATCCCTCCACCCTGCCACTCGTGCGCCCACCCTACTTAACATGCCGTCGCCCTTCTCATCTTTCTCATCCCTTTTTTCTCCGTATAAGCACATCTCCTGCTCCCTTGCAACCCTCCCAATCGCGCGTGCCACGTGGAACCTCACCATTTGTTCAGGCGCCATCGCGCCAACGGCCAGAGCATCTCCCTCGCTGTCCATCCTGGCGATGAGCTGGCAGTTTGATGCTGACGTGGCAGTCCACTTGTCAACTGCCCACGCTGCCAGCAAGGCAGCTACTGACTGCCCTGGCAGATCGTCCCACAGCCCAGGAGTTGAAAAAGCATCATCCCATCTCTTTCTCTGCCCACCCTGCCCAGTTCCTGGAAGTCTGGCCTGGTCAAACGAGTCAATCCTGGTCCTCTCAAAAACAAGTCCTTCATCAGTAAGACTTCCTCTCCTGAAAGCAAGCACGCCAGCCTCTGGAGCAGAGACACGTGGCATGGTCTCATTGGCTGCATCGATCATGACTCCCCATATGGTGGTGCCAGCATGGCCCCCAAGTCCAATACCCATCCCCCCTGATCCCCCATCCTCCCCTCCCCTGCCTCCTTCTCCTCCTCCTCGCCCTCTTCCTCCTTTCCCCCCGTCTGTTCCCCTCTTCCCTCCCCCACTCTTCCCTCCCCAACCCCACCACCTGCTACCCTCCTCCCTCTCTTCAGGCTCCCCCCATGTAAGCACATCCAGGGCGGCCCTCACATCCACCTCAGATGCCCGTTCAACCAGGTCCGGCCCTCCCAGCGACTCAATGGCGGGCCTTAGCAGTGAAGCTGGGTGGTGTGACTGTATCGAATGTTGATTCAGCGGGGGAGGTTCAGTGAGAAGGTCCATGAGTGCGTCTATAAGGGGGTGATAGCGCAGGAGTGCACTCGACAAGCGAACAGAGGACGGCCTTGGTGATAAGTTATCACCGCCTGACGCACTGTTGCCAGCACCTGAGCTATCTCCAGCACCTAAATTATCACCAGCACGCTCCCTACTGGAAACACCAGGACCGGCATATGCGCTTCTCCCTGCATCCACACTAGCAGCAGAATCCAGTTGTGCTATCCATGTCAAAATTCGCCGGATGCTGCCATCTCTATTCAGCACTGTCGGTGCCACGTCAGAGTCTCTCAACAGGCTGGCAATGGCCCGAGCTGCCTCCCTCCGCACTCGAATATCACTGTTCACAAGCCCTTCCAGCAGCCAATCAAGCACCTTCCCTTTGCTTGCGTCAGCAATCGCTGCCCTGCTGGCGCTGCCACCTGCTGCTGCCAGATCAGCAATGGTCCTTGCCACGCGTGCAACCCACGGAGCACCGTCAAGAGAAGGGGGGAGGGGAGAGGGTCTAGAAGCAGACCTGTATCGCCTCAAATCAGGGCTCCTTGCTTCCTGCGCATTCCGCCTTTCGTTATAATCACGGAGCTCCCACACATTTAGATCAGGAAGCGAGTCGGAGGAGAGGATGGCAGCTAAGCATCGAGCCAGAGCTGCTGTTGCCACGGCAGCATCCCGAGCCTGAGCACCAGCTTCGGCAGCTGCAGAGGCTGACTGAGAGGCGCTATTTACAACATGGTCCCTCAATCTCTTGGCGGAATCAATAGCTCTAGAACTAACGGATCTGACTGCATCGGGGACAGGGAGGGAGAACCCTTTCTCGGATGAGTGTTCAGGAACGGAGGAAGAGCCAGGGAAATGTCCCTGCTCAGGACGGCCTGAAAGCGCAGACAACAATATTGCTGTAGCAACTGCTGCTGTTAGCACCCACGGGAAAGACCTGGGCCTCCTGCTTGGCAGCTTGAAGCGATCAGAAGCTAACCATCTCTTCCTGCTTCCCCTACCACTCTCCCCAACACTGGAATTGACACCACTGCCATGACTGCTGCTGATGCTGCTACTGAAGTTCCTCAACCCGTTGATGCTGCTGCCCTCGCTGCTGCTATCTCTGTTCTTTTGAAAAGCTATCGGCCTGAAAAATGTATCACGCAGGCTGGAAAAAACAAGAGACGCGGTGTTGGAAGAAGGTGTTTCGGAAGCTGCCGATCTGCCTATGGTTTGACCTGATCCGCTGTAAACAGTTGCTGATACCGGTCCGGGATGACGGTCGAATCTTAGCACTCTTGGCCGTGTAGCCTCGAGCCTTCTTATTGACTGCTGAGATGGCACCTGTGATCCCAAGGTGGTTCTTACATGCGATGTGATGCCAGCGGTCAAGCTGAGAGGGGTATGACAAGGAACGCTGTTCAGCCGCCGAATTGAATCAATGAAAGTGAACGAATTTCGGAAAGGAGACGCAGACACCGTCGTCAGTCCAAATTCTTGAGCTTGTAAAAACCGTGTATCATAAAGCATCGCGTGCCTGCGTTGCAAAGAAAAACTGGTCGAGGCGCTTCTATGTACAGGGGTCGGCTGGGCTCGTTTAATGCCTGGTGGAGTCTGAGCTGTTCGTGCGGTCGCCGTCGCCTCGTTCGAAAAGCTCCTCGTCATGTCGACTAAACGCGGACCAATTTTCTCATCACCTGCTTTCCAAATTCAGCTACAAGGCTTCATATCAGGATCAGAGAGGACACCAAAGCCGCAAACAAACAATGCACCGCTGCTCTTCAGAAACGCATTTCTCAAATCAGAAGACGTTGCTGGAGTACAACCCGCTTTGTGGTCATCACCTGTAAACTGATCCACAACCTGGAAAGCTCCGCGCTCATCAGCCAGCCCAGCAATGTTTCCTACAGCCAATAAGCGCTGGTGAAGCCCAGTCACGCCACCAACGCAAGACGTGTCAGCCGGTTTACTCGTTATACAGACCCGCATTTAAGTACACCCGTCCAATGTATTCAGATGTTTCGCCATAGGAATTCGTGGCCAATATTCAGCGTTTGTCTTAAATTTCCGTTCTGGCCTGTTCGAAATTACAGAGTGGTTGAGTAAGGTTCTGGGCGACAGATCAAAGCTTATGACGCGCCCTCTGTGGTGGTCCCAGCCCCCTCGGAACTGACACGTGTCGGATAAATGCTCAACATTCGACCAGCGGAAAGTGGCCAGCCTATGTGATGACGCAACATTTCAGATCGCGCGGACCCGCCAGTCAGCTTTGAGAATGCCTTCGCCGAGCTGGACAAAATTTCGACCTTTACACCGTGGCCTCCACGTCCTCTTAGCCTCCACATTCGACACTGCCAGGTCAAAGCCGTCCTCCAATGGCCCAGCGGAGCAGCCGGGTCGACGTCACTTGCAATTTCCTCGTCGAATAAAAATCCACAGGTGCAGGCCGAGCCTCCCACAGCAGCCAATCTGGCCCCGAACCCAGTTCCTAGGCGTTTCCGCAGCTCCTTGGGGAAGAGATTTCTGGTCTGGGATCCAGGCAGAACCCCGCCAAACGTCCAGCTCAGATTCCAAGTCTTGAAACAGTAGCCGACACGTGGAATCTCGAAATTGCATTGCCTGGTTCCGTCGCATTTCACACGCAAGGGCCCTTTAGCCAGTGCGGCGCGCGGCGCCTCCATGTGGCCCAATCTCTTTGCCAAGCCTCCCTCTGTTCCCACGTTCCCTTTTCCCCCTCTCCCTTCCGCACGCACATTTCAGCAATCCTGACGCCATAAGCCATAAACTCCTCAGCAGCCCTAGCAATTTTCATTCAGCATATGCTGATTCCTGCATAATTTCCGCATCTCATTCTTTTCTTGGCCTTGTGAAATTGTCTTTCACTGATAGTGCCTTTCTAGCCGAACACTGACACCTACTGATCTCCCTTCGTCACCATGGAGGCTGTGGCCAGCATTGGCCTGACGGCTCCTGCCGCAGGCCTCGCCGCTGCGAGTTGCAAGAAGCGGGTAACACTATCGTCAACCTCCGCTCACTTTGCTCCGATCGCCTCGTCCGCCAGGGCCACTTCTCAGCGGCGTTCCCAGGATCGCACGATTTCATCCAGCAGCTTCAAGGCTGACGTGTCATCCCTCGTCGCGGAGGCCCCGAGACGGAGGCACCACTCCCGCCGGTCACTCTCCGTCCGCGCGAACGCCGCAGCAGCCGCCGCTGATTCCGGCGAGCCTGCCGGATCGGTCGCGAAAGCGCCTTCCAAGATCCTGGGCGTTGAGGTGATCACATTGAAGAAAATCATTCCCCTCGGTATCATCTTTTTCTGCATCCTTTTCAACTACACCATCCTCCGTGACACCAAGGACGTGCTCGTCGTGACGGCGCCTGGAAGCGGCGCGGAAATCATTCCGTTTTTGAAGACATGGGTGAACCTGCCCATGGCGATCGGCTTCATGCTGCTGTACGGCCAGTTGGCCAACGTGCTGAGCAAGCAAGCGCTCTTCTACACCTGCATCATTCCCTTCCTCGCCTTCTTCGGAAGCTTCGCGTTCGTGATCTACCCGCTGCGCCACGTGCTGCATCCGACGGCGTTCGCGGAGCACCTGCTGTCGGTGATGGGCCCGCGGTTTATGGGCCCGATCTCCATCCTGCGCAACTGGTCCTTCTGCCTCTTCTACGTCATGGCCGAGCTTTGGGGCAGCGTCGTCGTCTCCGTCCTCTTCTGGGGCTTCGCTAACCAGGTGTGTCACATATTCTTATGTGTATTTACTGGTCGTCATTTGTCTGATTCAAATCGCAATCGGTTTCGCCTCGATCACCTTGCTTCTATCTTTCGTTGAAGCTGTCTTTTTATAGCATTAACCTGTGAAATTGTTTATGCGTCACATGTAACATTGCAGATCTGCACTGTTGATGAGGCGAAGCAGTTCTACCCGCTGTTCGGCCTCGGCGCCAACGTGGCGCTCGTCTTCTCGGGGCGCACCGTCAAGTACTTCTCGGCGCTCCGCGGGCAGCTGCCGCCCGGCGTGGACGGGTGGGGCATCTCGCTGCAGGGCATGATGTCGATCGTGGTGGCGTTCGGGCTCGTCATCTGCGGCGTGTACTGGTGGGTCGACCGCAACGTCGTCAACGACCCCTCGCTGCCCAAGGGCACCGGCAAGAAGAAGGTGCGCACTGGGAGGTTGAACTGGGGGATCGGGAGCGTGGGTGGGAAGATTGAAAGATGGGTTGGATTGAACCGGGATTGGGGAAACTGGACT